CCCGACGAGAACGCACACTATTTTAGTTTTTTTAAGTAAGAATATTGGGAGATATTTTACCGAAAAGATACCTGCCACATTTGGATCGGATAGCAATATAGCAATTACCATCAGGAGAACAATGACATTTCTTTTACGTTTCCCTTGTGGGAGCTTAATCAAGTAATTATGTTTACATGGGCGAGGCCCAGGGCTGTTGTGCCGCTGACATCTTGAAGTCTGCACGCAGGCTTTACGATTCAAGACAGAAACAAGTAATGCCTAGGGTGGAGTGGGGAGGGCACTTGATTTTCTGTCAGGTTTGCTCGTCTGAAATATAAACTTTCCCGAAATGAATGAGAAGGCGGCCCACATCACGACAGCCACATCACATGTGTCACATTTTGCCGAATGCATACAGCAAGGCAAATGTGCAACAATTGCTCGATAACTCCACTGCTGGCTGAATGTCCTCCACTAGAGAGTTAGCTCCAGACAGCGACTCTCCCATGCTGGACAGACGTCTAGGGAGAGGTAGGAGTACCCCAGCACATGGCGACTTATCGATTGTCTCACTGTGGAGCACGTTTTTCAACTGCCGCACCAGGAGGTCACCTCGGTGACCTGTTGATTGCAAGTCCAGTGTGCTACCCCATAACACTACGGCAGCACCCCTGCATTGAACACGAGTGTAATGTTTCATGGTCAACATTCACTCTTTTTTTAAAGTACTGAATAGTTAAAAGGAAAACATCAAAAAATCTATGATGAGGACGAGTGCATATGCACCTCTGTGAACGTCATGAATGTGAACTAAGTCGTGCAGTACGACGAGGGGAGGGAGGATTTGAATCGAGAGGGCGGCATGCGTTCTGGGACTCGGCGTTTCGCGCGTCGAATAATCCTTCGTTTCAACAGGAGGTGTTCAGCCCCCTCGTGAACTTTTCCCGAGACAGATCGGTGGTTATGCTCGATTCGTGTCATTGTTACGACAGTTGATTAATTGCGGCTTTCGGTTCATCGGAAAATTGATGGGATTTTTGCGAATGTCACGTAGTTGTTCGCGAGCCAATTTTTCTCTAAAATGTTTCACCATTTAAAAAAAAATACTTATATCCCCCCACTCACCAAGACTATCGTTGAATAATGTGGTGGGAATGACATGGAAACTGTTTGCTTTGCTTGAAGAAAGAAAAAACGCCACCCACTATGGTTGATTAATGGCAAGCCAGGATAAGCAACGCACAAGTCCGGAAGAGAGCGTGGCAGGTGAGCGTTGTAGATATAACGAGTCACAGCGTCACACGTGACTTGGCCTGAACACGTGTGCAGGATGGACGAGGGCGGATTGCTGAGGCAGGCATTGGAGAGGCCTCCACGAGTGTGGCGACCAAGGGGAAGAGCTGCGGGGCAGATGATGGGAGACTGTCAGGGCCGAGCTTGGAGGCTGCGTGTCGACTACGCGGCAGCTGCAGGATCTGGCGGAGGGCGGAACGCGTCGGGGATGAGGTGGTGGTGGTGGTGGCGGTGGCATCGATGGCTTTGGCCGCGATCACTTCTTTTGTCTTGATCTTTGAGTTTGGTGAAATAAAATTAACAACTTCGTCTCAACTGAGCGGCAATGCAAAGCAAACGTCTTGACATGTGTTGTGGATACTCGGCCAGGAAAGTTTTATTTTGTGTTCGGCCACGACTCTTCCCCCCATGGTTCCATTAATGGATTATTGTGCGCGGATTCCACTGCAGAGACTGAACCCCCATTTCACGCGCCCGATCCTCCCCCCGCCTCCCGTGGGTAATAAAACAACTTTACACCCCGTAATCTAAAATAACAATCACATCATTATAGCAAGAGCCTGCGGAGAGAACACTTTGCACAAAGCGCCATTATCGCCAAAGCTCCAGGAAGTCGTGCCATCTCCGTCCACACGTGTAAAAACACACCTGCACACGCGCACACACACACACGGCGCTTCCTGCGAGGGTGAATTACACAGTGTAATGGGGCTCGCTGTGCATGCAATGCAAGAGGCGCATTCCGCGCTGATTGGTGTTTAACGGTGAAACGTGGGCGAGGACGTTACCCGAGCATTATTATTTAGGGTCTGTCGTATTCCCAGCGATGGTTTACAATGCGTTTCCTTACGTGCATCTTTAGTGACACCTGTGTGCGTTTTTCCCATCACCGTCGTCACAAAATATCGAATCCATCTTCACCTTGGGCTTGACAGTAAGCGCGTTGCGTAACGTTGGACGGCACGGTCACTCACCCGTGACACGAACAAACGCAGACGTCGTGGTACCTATTCACAGCCGCTAAGTTTAATCCCCGAGACGCGGTGGAAATATGCAAGTCGTAGACCTAACACACGAAGGCCATAGCCATGCAGTCAACATTGGGGGGGACCAAATCTTCCAGGGGGTCTGGGGGTACCCCCCCAGAAAATAAAATCAAAATTAGAAAACTCATTTCCTGCATTAAATATATTAAAAAAATCACTAACACAGAATGGACTTTTTATTTATTTTTTACAATAATGTCTAATAGTATATTGTATTACATTTAAGTTTTTTTTTTCTTTTTCCTGTTTCTTTGTATGTAATGGCAGAGATTATGGATGAATAAAGTACAACCATAACCACAATCATATAAACAGAAATCTATTTTATAGCAATATATTGGGGGGAACATTTTGAGCATACAATATATATTATAATTACGGTCTTGTAACACACACTTTGATAGCAATTTGAGACTCATGACAAAGGATATGAATTGCAACATTTGGGTGCCGGGTGGAACACTACATCGCAGGATCGTGAGAGGAGATGTTGCCTTGGGGATGCCTTCATCCAGCAGCGGATTGACCACGGCTGATGACGATTACACATTGGCATTTTATATTGTTTTGGTACAAAAAAACCTAAACATTTTGGTTATTCCAGATGGTTGTGACTGCATTCGTGTTTTTTTTTCTTCTGTTCACTGTACTCAGCATAAAAATTATGGATGACGATGATTGATGATGGCGACTGGCGGTGCTGAATTGACGCGAAATTAGAAGTCGATTAATGAACATTTGTAACTGTACGCCGCCATTCAAGGGGGGTCACCTTGAGCACGCAGCTCCACGACTTGCAACACAATGCCCCCCTGCAGCTTTGGACTCTGCAGCCGTGCAGTCATTAGCCTGCCGAACTGAGTGGACACACACCGATGGTCGCGCGCACCTTCCCCGCTCTCCCCCGCCGAAGAATTGCAACGCCAGAGATTGTTCAAGGAAACGGGGGGCGTTGGGGTGGTGGTGGCAGAGGGGGGCGGAGAAGGGGTGGCCGACCATCTTTTTGCCCGACCAGAATTATTCTGCATCGAGCAACCCCTCGGGGGTGCTGGCCCCCTCTCTCCTAAATCAGAGTGGTAATTACACGGAAGCAAATTAACCTTCTTACTGCGACGAGCCACGCCGGAGATGCGCGATCCGGGGTGGGGCCTGCTCTCTACCTGCGGGGGCCGATAATTTAAAATGTGCTGGCACCTTAATAGCCGGGCACGTCGCCTGCATTATTTATTGCTGCTTTGTATGCCGCATGTACAAGCGGCCTCGTCCCGCTTACGGTACCGTGTATTGTACGTAACTGTGTGTATGTAGCTTATACAACACGCACGACAATAATACTAATAATGATACAAAAAACCATTGAATGGAAACAGCAGTGCATGAAAATTACTCCGTGAATAAACTCGTGGTTTGCAAAAGCAACGGGCGATGACTCGACGTGCCGCACATTTCACCACCACCACCACCACCCACCCGCGCGTCCCGGGGTGAGATGTGGCGGTGTGTTCTGTGCACTTTGAACTCGGCGACCTGAGTTTGAGTCCCAGCCTCAGCGAGCATCCATGGGGGGCGGGGGGGTGATGTGGCACCTCCACCGATCCTGGGGACGCTCTTTCACCGACTAAATTTGACGAGTGTGGTGAAGTATGGTCAACCAATCCCCATGACCGGCATAGCCTGGATTGACATAGGCCTGCAGATTGTTATTGTATTATTATGATCACTGCTACAATAGTTAATGTGTGTCCGATTGACATATAACAGAACACTAGGATTATAAAGTGTTGGGGGCAAATGAAGGCTGGAAAATTTAACTGCAACACTGATCACTCGAAAACCCCTACTAATAAATATTACCAGTCATCCAATGTGATGTTGATGAATGAAAAGCGTGCAAAGGTTGTAATCCACTGAAACTAATTTAATAGAAATGAATGAGGGATACAAATCAAAAGAAAAGGGCACATTAGTCGTTCCCCACCCACCAAGCACCCAAACAGGCAGTAAAAAAACCCTGCTAACTTTCGAGATTCTCTTTGTGAAACCATGCATATACAAACACACGTTAATTTTTATACGCAGCCTGAGCAGCTGGAGTGTATTGTATTTACAAAAAAGTGGTAAAGGTGAACATCTGAAATTGCTTGCTCAGGCCACCGCTGGGGGAAAGGGCCTCCCACGAGAGAGAGAACTCGACAGCTCCTCCCGAGGGAATTGTGGCCAACTCTACCACGCTGGCCAGACATCTTGGAAGACGTGGGAGTACCCACCCATTACCCCACAAAACGAGACCTGCCAATCCACTTCAACGTACCCACTTATCGTGCTGGCTGGACTGGGGTTGGCGGGGTGTTGGGAGGGATTGCAAGTCCAGTGCTCCAACCGGGACATCACGGCAGCGTCCATTTACAGGTGCGGCGTCTAATTTGAGAGACACGTGATGACCTTCAAGGCGGGCAGCTCGGGGTGTTACATTACGACGCCTGACACGGTCGCGTTGAGAGCCTTCACTCACAAATCTGGGGAGAACACGGCCTCCTTCTACCCCACCCCCCACTCCTTTCTCTCACCTCTCCCGTGGGTCACAAGGCGCAATCGCACAGCGCGGGAAGGCACATCAATGAGCACTTTGTTCAAAACAGAACCTGGCGGAACGATCATCTTAAGTTTCCAAGAAAATACTCGAGAAGCCGTGTTTCATATTTTTTTGGGGGGGGGATGGGAGATGAGAGTTAAAAAGTTGAAATGTCGTGACATCAAAATGCTGCGACACGCTGCAGTTATTCCAGGAAAAAGGGAAGGTTAAAAGGTGTTAGGTTTCTCGCGCAAGTTTGTACTTGTGTTCACTTTTACTCCGGAATATGGTTGTTATACGCCGCTACTACCATGCGTTCATACGACAAGTTTAGCGAGAGTCTGCTTCTACCAATTACCCTGCCTCTCTCCATATCGTAGCACCCGGCGTGGTAATGATGCCTTAACCACCTCCCAGAAAGGCAACAAAAACCTTGTACTCTGCACGTACCGGGTCTCTGGCTTAGTCCACCATTATAGAACAGATCAACAAAACGTTGACGGTTCATGAAGTTTTTTGTTTATTTTGGCTTACACTGTAGGTCATGGTGCAACTTGAAGCAGATCATAGCACTGTGCATATACAGACCGAGTCGCGCTTGCGAATATGCATACTTATATATGATATAGCCAATAGCGTTGCAACACATCTGTACAGTCGTTTCATGTATATACATAAACAAGAATTCGCACTCTGTTATGACTAGGGATTGAGCCAATATCATACACTTTCACTTGTCTATTGTATTGTACTGCCAATGGCACGTGTCTTTTTTTACACGCATGGGCCATACTCTGGGATGCAAAGTGTTACCAACTCAAACAAACCATGCTCCACACACGAGTCTGGCAATACTTTAACTCTGCAACTCTACCGATTTTCCGACTGTGGGAATACTAAATGGCGTAGAGTAATTGGGGTGGCAATTATTCATTGGGCTAAACTTGGTAAGATGACATGAAGCTTTCCGTTTTTTGTGGAATTTAAATGATCCTAAACTATTGCGCGTAATTAAATGACACATTCATGTAACGTAAATTTATATTCAAATCAGGGAGTATGTGTAGCCCAGACCAGGCATTTGCAGGGTAATTAATGCCATCAAGTGGCATGCAAATGTTTGCCATGTGTTTGGACTGTGCAGCTCCGCGCATTTTTGCTAAAATCCCAAGTCATAACGGCCACCTGTGCTCAAAACAAGCGCCGTCGCTTAATGTGCACACTCAAGACACGCGTATACGGACACGCAGTGACATAGCGGGTGTAACAGCGAGCATATTGAACTCGCCAATACACCAACGCCGCAATTGCCGTCACAACGAAAAGGAAAGCAAAATATATATATTTTACAAAGCATGTAACACGTTTATCACCTTGATTGTATCCGAGCTCAAGCAAATTAATTATACAAAAAACCTCATCAAATTCACCAAAGCAGAATTGTGGTTTCGACCGTTTTTGCCGTAACGAGCAAATCTTAGCGTGTCGAAAAGTGACACGAGGCATTGTAAATGTTGTATTCCAGCCCCTGTGTTGGCACCAGCTGTGCAATCCCAGCCTTGCTCGACAGGGAATCAACAGCAACGAGACTCACATGAGATGGTGTCCATCGCGAGAGCTGCAAATCCCACGACGCATCGCGACGACACCCAACATGCAGCAACTATATTCCTCCTTGCACAATGTGACCCGTGATCTCGCGAGAGTGGCCTGCACAGCCGGGCGGGTTAACTTGTACAGCTGATCAATGTATTATGCTTCTAGATTTCACCCAACTTACAAGCGGCTATTCTGTTCAGTCTTCGTGTTTGAAATGAAAACTCACCTGGCAAATGGTTTACCCTGGGCATTGCTAGCAACTTAAATAATGTTTACCCTTGTTTTAATGAGCAATATACATTTTACTTGCATGGCTTTATTGACCTACGTCTCAAAATGATTTTGAGGCTTCAGTTTTGGAGTAAAAAAAAACAATCGCCAGTAAGGTGGGCTAACAAAGCAGACGAACGGCAATTACAGTACAACAAAAACGAACGGACAATACCCATCTCAGTGAACGTTCATGGCTCTGTTTTTAATTGAACAAGAAGAATCGTGATTTGGAGTTTGGGACACAGTGACTGTATCTAGATACAACAAGCATTATCAGTTTACCATTGTGCCACATATCTAATATATACCGTATTGATAAAAGCTTCCATGCATGTGAATTACTCTCTGGATCTCATACATTTCCTACCAAGTCTCCAAAGAATAAGGCGATTTACAACAGCACTGCATCTCACTGCGACCGAATTTTTGACAAAACAATAAAAACCTGCTGAATTCAAAAGTGCAATTTCTCACGTCTCACTCTCTCATCAATCAATGCATACGACACTCAATAACTCCCATTTCATATTTTCAGTAAAAAAAACAGCACATTTCAGAATTTATGTTCGCCATTCTGAATGAGAAGGGTGCCCCCAAAGACGGCGATGCGGAACCCACGAACACGTTTACACACAGAGACTGTAGTTGTTTAACACCCTGCATGCATTGCTCCACGTGGTCAAACACACACCCACACGGACACGGGCAACGTGTGCACGAACAGCACAGGACTCAATTCCTGCAGTCAGGCGGTCCACGAACTGTTGGGGAAGATGCTATCGGTGGCATGGAGGGAGATAAAGCCACGTTTTCAACTCGAATAGCAATACCTGCTATAAACAATTTATATTTTATACAAAATACATACACTCAATGGGTCAATCGTCTGAGCATGTGTGGTGGGGTACAGTGTTGGTACTCCCGTGTCTTCCAAGGCATCTGGCCAGCGTGGAAGAGTAGGCCAAAAACATTCTCCCGTTGTTCTCCAGAGCTCCCTCTAGCGGAGGCCCTTCTGCCAGCAGAGGCATGAGCGAGCAGTTGCACGGCTGCGCCTTAACTCTTTACAACACTATATATTGTTTAAATACGCATTTTTAAAACAATCTCCGATTGAAAACTCAATTCTTAAGAATAGTTTTATTTATTTATTTTGTTGTCCTTCCCCCGCACCCCCGATTAGCATGGTTAGCTTCTACATATGGTGCGAAAGAAGTTCAATATAAGCACACCTACACCTCCCCCTACAACACTAGTCCTATCAAGCCAGGTACAATGTTTCCCCTTCAACCACCTAACGCTGCACACATAATTAAACCGGGTGAATATTTACATTTCGAGCATATTTACATCGGCATTGAGCTCACGAAAGCCACCGTGCAAAAACAAACATCTCGGAAGGCGTGATATAAGCGGCAAGCACTTGTGTTCGAAAATTAATCGTTAAAATGTTCATGCAGATCGTGTTGGGAGGGTTATTTGTGTTCGTCTGAAGAACAAGAGTCAGAAGCAAGCAGTATCGTGGGTTTTTCTAATTAAAATCTACAGCTCCGTTACAATAACACCATCGGTTTTGGGCTTTGTGGGAGAGGGGTTAAGGGGGGAGCAGAGGGGGTTGCACATTTTTTTTTTATATACGAAAGATTCGAAGACCCAAAAACAAAGATGCATTTTTAAAACAAGCTAAATGTGTACACCGTATATTTTAAAATAAGCATGCTGTTTCGTCTATCAAATATTTGTGAGATTAACGAGTTTGCCATAACCATGAAAGTGGTTTTGTTTTTTGGTCCTCAAATGCCCACACACACACGCATACTGGTTTGACTGGGCAATTCATCTGCACACAGGCTGCTCCTCTGTTTATAAAACCAGAGTCAACAGCTGGAAATTACCATGTCATGACTGGAATAAAAAGAGCACCTTTTAGGAACCTGCCATCTGCTTAGCTGTCAGGCAGTTTGCCAAATCAATTTCCATGGGCAGCAACCCATGGGTTTACAGATCTGGCTTCGATGTAGTCATAAAAGTCTGCGTAATTTGTTTTTGTGAAAACAGAGGCAAGTATTTTATGAGAATATTTTTTTAATGTAACCCAAGCCGTCACACCTCATTGACGACCTTTAGGCCAACTCGCCCTAAAATGAGCTAATACTGGTCACGGTTTTACTCAACATAGCTCGGTTGTTGTGGTAAATACCCCTCGAAGGTTGACTCGGCCTAAAAAAAGGGGGCCACCTTGCAGCAGTTTTAAGACAACGAAAGGTGGTTTAGGCATGGTGGCTGGTCACCTGTTCCCAGGTCAGTGAGTAAAGTCACTCACCTCCACAATCCTCCTGGGGTGTAAATTCGAGAGCGATTTAAGGAAGTTTTTCCTAAGCGTGCCTGTGCAGATGCCGTCGGTAACGATAATTTAATTCCACACAAAAGGCGTCCCAGACTGAACACAGGATGGCAGTGACAACACTGCAGGGGATGTTTTTTCCCCCCACTGGGTTTTAACAACCATATTTGCCGGCATTATATTCATAGTTTTAAAATGCAATATCTTGTGATTATCAAAACTGAATTTGCACGATGTGTCGGGAAGCGACAGCTTGCTGTTGGGAGTTATACAACTGCGCTCTACTTTAATTGGGATATTTACCAGTCGTGAAAATAAGGCACTTTTTTGTTAAAATTAATAACACTAATTAAAATGATCTATTTTACATTTTCCAAAGTAAAAAGTGTTCGATTATAATATGTTGTGAAACATTAAACACTGTAGGCATATGTAGGTTTGTTTCAATGAAATAAAGGTTAACCTTCAAACATGTATGTACCGTATATGGAAGTGCAACATGGCAATTGAATAGAGAGGGCCCTTCACAAAATACAGATGTTCAATGTAAAACTCTGAACTTAAATGGTAATTTTCTTCAATCACTAAAATTAACAGGACTCCACGACATTGCAAAAGCCTTTGAAACCTGCCTGAAAAAGGCCTCAAAGAACAAAACAGCTGCATTCACTTAGCAAGACCGAAATAAGTCTTCTATATTTCCAGTACTTATGGTTTCAGATTTGGTTGGTCTGTCCAAAGCAATTTCAATGTTTGACACCGACTTATTTGCAAATATGATTTTTAAAAAGGCGTTTCTGTTGCTTTTTTCCAATCAGCACTTGTCTTTCATGCATTCCATGAGGGTAAATATTTTTTGTATTGTCATTTGCCCTCAACGTTAAATGCCATTTTGCCACTGTTCAACCTTCAACATTTTATTTTGTCAACCGATGAATGAATAACGCCCGAGTCTGCGCACTCCTGGAATTAGAAATACAAAAATACAGAGCCTCCTGGAAATATCATTGGGTTTCAAGCAGCCAGCTGGATATATGCTGCACCTCCTCCGTTAAGTATATATATAAACAGTACTGTGGGCACAAACACTGCACACATTTATGTAATTCCTGGAATTGTCTGTTGAGTTTTAAAGTTTTTTTCACACATCCACTTTGTTCCATAACATTTTTATGTTTTTGACATCAATCAATCCTTTGGTGAACGTTTTCCTAAGCTGTGCTTCCCTAAAGCCATCCTCGTGCTGTGGAACGATGATGTGTAGTAGTGGGAGTGCTCACTCCTGCCATTCCGTTTTGCTTTCTAAACAAAATTCTGACCTGTCCAATTCAGCCGCGTGCCACTCAATCTCGCAACTCTGGCCTTTCCACTTCACCTATGATCGGACCTTTGCTGCGAACCCACCCACGGTAATCTTTTCTTAAAGCCCTCAATCCCCTGCCAGCTACTGAGCAATGCCACGAAAAACAGAGGGAGGTCAGTTCATGAATTTGCCCATATCTCAAATACCAGTGCTATTTTCTTTCTTGCAAAACACATTTCATGAGCTTTGTTTAAACCATATATATATTTCTGACTTCCAAAGCATGCAGAAAGCTAATCTCCTTGTTGGAAACACACACATCAACATCAAGGGCTCATTCAGATGCATGTGATGCCATTTCTTAAAAGTGCATCGGGCACATTTCACTGCTTCACTCTGTTCCGTTTTCAAATGTGAAAACCATTTTGTTTTTTCTTTATTTATTAAAAAAAGAATGGATGAGTGGTGGTGCATCGATTAACCCACTGCGCTCTATGAACCCGGAGACCGGAGTTAGATTGCCGACTACAGCTAACATCAGTGGCGAGTGATACCGGAACCGATACGGTCTCTCCTTCCCAACCCTCACCAACCCACACAAACCAGAATGGTGAAGTATGGTCAAACAACCTGCCCACGACTGACGTGGCGTGGAGAGGCATTCATCCAGCAGTTGATTGCCAAAGGGGCTGTAAATCATTATTATCATTTTTTTAACAAAGGAAAAAATAAGTTATAAAAGAGTAAACTTGCTGCCAAGAAGACATTGCACGATTCTTGGCTAATGCATGACCCCCGCATGAAAAACCATTCACCGCCACATCACTCCATGCCCCGGCAACACATATTATTTCAACGACTCATTTGGCACTTCACAATGCACTTGCGACCCACGATATATAACTTTACAAAGTGTGATATACCGCCCTGCAGAACTCTACGGTCTTCATGTCACTTCATGCCACTTCGAACTGTCAAAAATGTCAGTGTTCCACACGAGGTATCTTCCGGGGAAAAAAAAAATCTGCTCAAGCCCAATTTTTCTCACCAGCCTGACCACTTGCAAATCGCCTACATTCCACGTAGCCTGCACATTCCTGCTATTAGCACGATACCATCGTAAGGGATCGCCAACAAATCGAACCCAAGAAGAAGAAAAAAAATCCTACCACGATGTTATCGGCCATCCCCATATTTCTGTCTCGCGCCGTGTTGACAAACATCTCCCACGGTCATTTGACCAGTTCCGACCTCCACTTCCCAGAATCACATTCCCCTTCTCCACCAACCCTTTCACTGTCGTTGCAACGTAACTTGAAGTCCCGCAAACCAGGCTTCCTTTTTCCAGAGGTGGCATGGGATGGACACGTGCTTCCTGCCATCGCGGCAACGACGAAGTTGTAAAATCCCACAGAGGCGCTTGATTTCCGTACGCCGACCTGCGTTTCCGTAGCCAGACGTGTCGATATTCTGGATATGGCTGTTTCAGTGCAACGCTGGTGGACGCAGCCCTGATGAGAGTGCTGTTCGATCACAAGGGGACACGCGCGGACCCCGATCTGAATGGCGGTGTTCCGTGGAAAAAACTTCCGATCTCGGCATCACAAAAACCCGCAGCAATGAAGACGACCCGAAAACACTTGAGGCAGTTGAAGGGGACGAGGAGCCGTGTGATTACAATGGAAGTTAAGACGCGCTACCTTGAGGCTTAATTTAGAAATATTGGCTTGGAGTGAAAGATACTCATTTAGCACCACAACAGAAGATTCACATGCCTAAACAAAACCAAATGCTGCATGTGCTGCGTGTATATACGGTATACATCCAATCGTCCTCCCATCAGGAAGGATCTCCATCCACAATTGACTATGTGCCCTCGCGGGAGCGGGCGAGCGCTCAGCCGGCAGGTTGACCGGTAAATCGCTTTGCGGTGGGCCAAATTGTTGGTACCACGACCATCACAGAATCGACAAACGGCATTGAAAAGCACGGGGCAAAGTGTCTCCAAAAAATGCAAACAATTCTGCTTTTCAGTTTTTGCTCGCAGCGGAGCGATTGGAGTTAAGCACTGCAGTCAAAAACCCCTTCTTTCGTTCGCTACGAATATAAACAATGTGGTGGTCGGCGTTTACCCCTCAAGTCCCCTCTCCCAGACACTGCCAATGCAGCCCCCCCCCCCCTGCCTTGTCTACGCTCGTCCGTCTCTCCCCCCCCCCAGCCACCGCCTCTCTTCACCCCCACCAGCTACCACCTCTCCGCCTCTCCCCAACCCACGACTCCCGGCGCGAGCGCGCGCCAAGGAGCCAAGGAGCTCCGCGGAGCGCGTGGTCAGCGCGTGGCGTCGAAGCAGGTGATGATCATGATGTGCGACTTGCAGACGTTGAGGCGCTGCTGCAGGCGCTCGGTGGCGCGCTCCAGGCAGTCGAGGTACTCCAGCGAGGCCTCGTCCAGCTCGCCGTCCACCTCAACTTCACGCACAGAGACAAGCGCCGAGACCGTCACCACGACGATAATGACAACTGGTGAATATTACGCACATTTTATTACAGTGCTTAGCATGACACTATTGTTCATTATTATTATTATTATCCTTGTTTACTCAGTAAAGCCTCGTGGCTCTTATTTCTTTCCAAGTTTTCACACTCGGTGGGTGGGGGGGGGGGGGGTTGCCATTATAATCCCATTTGAGTAAACCGCGGGTAAAAAACATGGAAAATTTAGAGCACGATGCCGACACATTATGAGCTACTCTGGTGGGCGAATGCTGTTACGGGGACAAATCCACTGTGAAGCAGACGGCGGCGTATATTTACGTTTAGCACGCCAGCGGTATTAATCAGGGCTACCGTCAGGGTTGCAACCAAACCCACGAACCTCCTGTATACCAGGCGAGGTCGTTAACATCTCGCCATGGAAGAAACGCTTCATGGGGGGGGAGGGGGGGGGGCTGGAAGTGGCGCTGCGGCTTGCGATGCTTACACTCGGCGATCCACTTGCTTGGCTCGATCATGAGGTGGCGCATGGAGGCTTCCAGCTCGAGGCGCAGCGCCAGATACCTGTCCTGCACCTCCGCCAGCCGCTGGTGCCGCTCCTCGACCCGCTTCAGCCGGTCGCTGAAGTAGACCAGGAGCTGGGGGGCACGGGGGGCACGGGGGGGCGTGGGGGGCGGCATGCGGAAGATGCGCGCACACGGGGGGAGGGGGGGAGAGTCTGGGGTCAGCGTAAGGGAGGAGTGAGAGGCAGTCGTAGTGGGGGCCCCCCGGGGTCGACTGTCATTTAACGATACGCCCTCGACGTCAAAACACAAGTTGGCCTCTTACAAAGCAGCACGAATGTGTCTGCACCGCTCCCCAAACTGAGGATTGCGGCCCAACTGATTGAAGGATGAGCAGCGCATCGGTAAGTCAAGTTTGCCCCTAATAATATTCATCTGAATTGTTACCATAACAAATAAACCTTCATGAAGGCGTGTAAACACGATGTCATCCCTTCGTTTGGCATTATTGAAATGCTTTGTGGTCATTTTAAACATCGGGGTATTTGATATCAGTTAAACCACCTTTTTTTATTTCGTTATATATTTTTAATTAAGAGTCTATTCTGGATCTTTCTGGCCACTGACCCATCCATACCCCCCCCCCCCGCCCTGGCCATTAATTGGTCATATTGCCGACAGTGCTTCGGCCAGTAATGGGTACCAGCTCATTTCATATGCAAATTAACAGTGACGTCTGATTAATACATTAAGTCATCAAGGGGGCTCAATAATGGGAAACAATGGGCACTTTGAATGCAGGGCTATGGAGCAAACCTGAATTCACAGCAAGGTCTGTTTTGTTTTAATGAGCACGGTCGCAATGGACTAAAATTACCAAGGGCCACATGGAAATGTATTAATAATAGAATTAACTGTTTTGCCTCAGGGGTAATGAGCAGGGCTGACACTTGCCCATAAAAGAAATGGCATAGCCCACAATGAATGAGCCGATTGCACACACACACACACGCGCACACGCACCGCTCCAAGAGTTACGTGATACGGTGCAGGTGTGTGGGGGCATCGTTTGCAGAATGACGCCCTCTTCATCGAAATGGAGACATTCTCATCGATGGACCTCTTTATCTACCACCTGAAACCCACCGCTCCCGGACAACCACCGCTCCCGGACACCCGCCACTTGCCACCAAAGTGTCAGCACCTCTGAATTGAGCGCACGTGACCCGACTCCCAGAGTAAAATGTGACTCTGCCATGAACCTGGGTTTAATTACACAGCTCTGATTAAAAGGCATTAAAGCTGACGCATGGATTCATTCTGAGATGTCACGTGTCGGTGTGACATTAAACAAAGAATGATTAAAAGCGAAGTGATATTGGGTACATTCCACTCAAAATGTTTCGAGGGAGCAACCAAAAAAAAAGACGCGGAGGGGCTGAGAAATTGAAAAAATCCGAGAAATTCCACGTAAGGGTGCAGCATAAATCTAGCAGCACTTGAGAGCCACAAAAGCTGATGTAACAAAGCGATCAAACAATGTGTCTTTAGCCCTCCCAGATCAAGAATCGTGGGGGTCGAAATTTACATTTGGTCCACCTTCCTGCAGAGTTCAAACGTGGCTTTGAAGAATCACTAAATTCTCATCTGTTTGTAATTAATGCAAGTCGCATTTATTAAATATTAAACAATCCAAAGATGCTTTCACCGATTTAAAAAGAACTTAAATCTAAAATAACACATCTGGCACCGTGAACTGCTGGTTTCACATGGATCGTCTTGAACTTACCGTGTTTGTGAGAGGGTGACGGAATGGCATTTGTCAAAGACCAGAGGTTTATTTCCGGCGCTGTGCCGTGATTGTAATTCAGGTGACTGCCAGCGAACATCGTACAAGATATTATTCTCCATGCCCGTTTCATCTCCGAGAATTTGTAAGTATTTACAATAATGGCAACAGCCGACCAGACCAGATATTTCAAATACCATTGCCTGACCCTGTAACTTAAACATTTCCATCAACTGCCACGTCAAAATAATGCTTACGCTTGACAGTTTTTTTTTACTATTCCTTTCCATCTCTCGATTTAATGTTTTTCTTTCTCCCTTCTTGTTGTAACCAAATTATGCCCACAAAAGATGGGACTTTCTGTTGATCTGGGAGAGCAATATGTTATCGGCAAAACATAAGACTTACTTCATCAATACCTTGGAAAGGCTGGAGGAGAAGGCATAACGAAGAGGACAACAGCGGCAAGCAAGGAAGAGACATAAATCACATCACACGGCATTAACGTCATTTGAGGCATTTTTTTGTTTTTACTTAAAGACAAGACCGAAACGGTCGCTGAAATGTCACGTTTGTCAGGATTAGGCGTGGGACAACGTGGCATTATGAAGCGTTGCGTGCGCAAGGCCGATACGATGGGATGTATTGGAATTCCCTGCAGCGGGAGGCTGATGCCGTTGCAATTCAATATCTGCCCGCTTGCATTAGCGAGGTGTGCTCAGCTCAACGGAGACACGCCTGGGGGTCCCCTTGGTGGATGCCCCACGCTAATAAAATCTGGACCTTTCCCCCTGCGTTTCTGAACATGCTCGGAGGGCAGCTCATACATAATGCACACATCGCGCACACATACAGAGGAGAATGAATACATTAATATTCTCTTAAAAGATGCATTCTATGAAAAGCTCTCACACACAGAGGATCTTTTTTTTTCGATTTAAAGCTTTCGTGACTGCAGGGATTCATCTTCTTGGTTCTTTCGGTAAAGTCACGTAGAAGGGGTTCACCGATTATCAGCCTTCTACGTGACTTTACCGAAAGAACCAAAAAGAAACATTGGAGGATCCTTTTAACATTTTTATCTGAACTTTAATGCCTTCAACGGCGGTGGCAGTTTTTTTCCACTTGAGAAAGAGAGAGAGCAACTTCCCCGATGGCAAAACTAAGCGCAACATTAACTCGTCATGAACGTATACATTACTATTATTTGCAGGAACTTTGCCTGACATGGTTTTACAATTCTCATATCCTGCCGTGATATCTTAGGAAACAAGACAGAAATATCACTGGGAATTACGGGTCAATTTTTTGTGCAACTCAAAATGTATGCAACTCACAGCTATATTAAACTTAACTACATTTTTGGTGCAATTTATATTTCTTAACTCTCAACGTATTTAAATTTTGATTTAAAGCTTTCGTGACTGCAGGAATTCATATTCTTGGTTCTTTCGGTAACGTCACGTAGAAGGGAAATAATAAAATAATATATATATGTGGATTTCACACCTGATGATGATTGCTTGTGTTGCAGTCGAAACGTCGTGAGAATTTTTATTGTTTCATATTTATATTATTTTCTTATTTCCCTTCTACGTGACATTACCAAAAGAACCAAGAATATCTCAACGTATTTATTCACTGATGTGGCTCTGGAGCTGGTTATAATTCAGTGGAAGATGTGCACCCGACAGCCGATGGCTTTTGGATAAGTGCATCTGCGACGACGACGACGTAGCGACAATTGCACGACTCGCGCATTCGCAAACGTTCACTGCGGTGGTGCAGATTCACAAACAGCACAGCAGGGAGGAGGAGGAAGGAAGGGGGGGGGGTACATTTCTGTGTCATATGCAAAGGGCAGTAGTGCATTGAGAAGGACGTTAATGGTGCCGGGGAAGAGTCACGTAGGAGTGGGAGTACGAGAAGTGGGGCAGCAGCTGGAGCCTAAGGTAGTCGGTATTATTTTACGTTTGTCTAGTCCATGACAGCCTATTAATTTGTTAAATGTTGGTGTCAGGAGGCGTGCAATTTCCACAAGTACTCCCCAACCCCCCGCCATTTATTAATTATAATTAATTATCAGTTCAGATAATCGGTGAACTCAATGAATCTTTTTAGACATACGTATAGAGGCAATTACTGTGTTTGACCTTCCTCGGTGCGCTGCTGTCTCTAATATCGTTACTCATCATCAGCAATGATCAATCAATCCATTGCTGGATGATGGCCTTAAGTGGATTGATCATGGCTGATGATAATGAAGAGTAGCAGTAATAAAGAGGAACAATTTATAATTGTGAATGTGACTAAACTGTTTTGAGTTTGCGTCCTCATCCAGAGTCGTTGATTTCATCGTCGCAGTCGGCCTCACGCTCTGGTCTCTGGTCGGCAGCAGCCGTCGTCGTCAACGCTCCGTGATTTACACCCAATATCATTATCGTCAGTCAAAGTCATATACAGGAATAGGCCGATTGACGTCGTTTCGCAAATACGTCGTCACTTAAAAATGATTAACACCGCTACCCGATTTGCGTCGCCTCAACCCCACACTCACGTCGCTGACGGCATCGTCTGATCGTTCTCATCATCCGTGGCCTCTCAGCCTTTTGCCTCCATCGCCCAAGCCTGTAAAACCGCTTTGATTCACGTCGTTTAGACTTTCATCGCCGCACCTTTTCGGGAACGCATCCCCCCCGACGTAAACGTTCCACCGACGAAATATTTCTGTCCCCCTCCCCCCCCCAAATTCGTTTTAAGACGCCATCGACGGGCGCCGGTGTTCACCTCCGCCTGCACGCCGTCGATCTCGTAGATCTTGATCTCGAAGGGCTCGTTGAGGACTCGCTGAGCGGGACGGGGGTCCGCGCGACGGGGTGGCGGCGCGGGCGCCTTACGCGCGGGCGACACGCACGGCGGCACGCACGGCGGCACGCACGGCGGCACGTCCACGGGCGGCAGCGTAGGAGGAGCCGCCGGATGGGGCTGGTGGGCCAGACGCCGTCGCTGTGAGCCTGAACCCGTCGCAAGGGAATGTAAACAAAACAACAGGAAAAGTAAGAAAAAAACACGCACACGCGTGGACGTACGGCAAGGCCTAGACATTCGCGATGGTTAGGCGTGTGAAAATGGTGGGTGAGAGTAGAATTTGCGAATGTTGATACTTTACCGGATTTCATGAGCGATGACAGTAGGTTTCAAGCCACTGACGTCACGCAATGCATGAAGCTTGACGTTACGGGTTAATGTCGCATCCAATGCCATCATCGGGATGGTGGGGGTCATACATCTGCACCCCAGCCACTAGGCTGCAGGCGTCAAGCCAAATCCTTTTAGCACTGGTTTTGTCGACGTTATGGCCTATATGTTTGATAAATGTGGCCCATGAGCAACAAAGCTTCATACTAAAGTGATCCTGCCCATGTGTGACACGCAGGCGGACGGACAGAGCAAATGCATTTGCGCTCCCAACGTTAGCTGGGAAGCGTTAAAAAACAAAGCTTGGGGAGTATTGGGTGGCACAGATAGATGAAGCAGAAATCAGCTCATTTTACCAAGTTAGAAATTACAGATTTTAGAGTTCGAGCGTGACCTCAGCAAAAAAATAAACAAACGGCTCTCATATTTGGTGGCTGGGGTGATGGTAATAAGGCTTACTTATCAAAATATTAAATGCATACCTAAAATGCACACAAATATACTTTTTTTAAAGCGATTTCCGCAATCTTCAATGTCACCACAGGCAAGTAAATCCTAGGATGTCTGGGTCGTCTCAGGTCAATGCAAAATAAATAAATAAACAAACCCTTCAGCCAATTTGCTCCTGTTGGCAGCGTCTCATTTCAAGGTCAAGGTCAAGATTATCCTGGCATTTTTGTTGTAAAAGCACCTCAACAAGGTACTGCATTTAGCATTTAACCCCAAAATGCCAACGCACGACTCGCTTTATTCTCCCGTCTGAATTCTAAGCGACTTGCACTTTACGAATTCCGCCACGTGGCATTCACGAGACGGTCACATCGTTCCTTCTGGATTGTTTTACAGAATGCTTGTGTTTGCCACGATCCATCACAGACCTCATTAGCGCAGTTGATGGCACAAGCTCCTGTCATTTCACTACAGGAATCTCACACATGCAGAACAACGGGCAAGACACTCTTGGGTTTTTTGGCCTTTCTGCTTTCGATTAGCCGAGGTCTCTACTCCTACACCCAATTCCAGTACTGCATTAACAAAACCAATAATTTATTCCAGAATACGTTGGGAGATTTATTGCAAGGTCATTCCAGGTTCTTGTTAATTAATTTCGTTCATTTGCCCTGCTTTCCAATTCACTGATTTATTACATTTTCCTCCCACTCCCACTGCGTAATTGAGAAAGCTGCAATAATGTCCCTTAAAGTTATTTATTGTTCGCAAATATATGAGCATGTGCTCCTAAGCCAGGTCTTACCAGCTACATATATTATCCTTTTTTTGTATTTTAAGACTAACAGCTACAGAAATTCTGAGCAAGCAAGCCTCTTGTTGAATGTGCATTTCAAAGAGATTCTACAACCAGAAAGGCTATCACATATCACCGGGAAAAACTTTAGATCAGTCAACCATGTCTCGCTCCACTGTAAACACCCTCCTTCCGAGAGTGTTGCTTGTGTGATGACAAAGTCCAGCCCCAAAGCCACAGAGAAAAGGCTGATGAAACACAGCCCCAGCAGCCTGCAGTTAAAAATGCGACAAAGCTTCTATAACATTTCCCTCTGAGCTCAAGAGTTCACAGGGAGCTCGACATAAAACAAAACAAAAACGCACATCAGTGGCACATCAAACAGAGCCAAGTCACAAAGGGGACTATTGCAAAGATGCAGATAAACTCACGGTAGCATGCTGCTGGGACACATTATATAGATGAAAAGCGGCCAAACATTTATGTGCTGTAACTCTCCGATGGGTTTTAACGTCGTCCCACACGTTGTTCGTCTCTGCGTGCTGGGAGCTTCTTGCAGCACGTGGGGCAAAACGTCGGACATCGTGCCAAACAACCCCGAAGACACATCGTAGATTGCTACAGTACAACTCCAAAAACCTAACACAGAAGTATGTAGTTATGTCCTATGTCCACGGTAACTAACTTCAGACCTCAAGGCCCAAGAGTGTGACATGAATTGCAGTTACATAAGAAGACACCCAACTATCATTCTGTTTTCCATGAAACTCATTTAAAGCTTAAACATAATGATTTGCATTTAAAATTCCATGACACCTCAAATTGCCTTATATAACACAAAACGGGAAAATAAAAACTCGCAGGGGTAAAAAGGGTCAAGAAAAGAACGAGACGTAAAAGAATGAGCCAAGGGCATCACAAAAGTCCAACCAATGACCCAGGCACGAAGGGTATGACAGCCACCACAGATCCCAGCATAAGCAGAGTTCAAGGAAAAGTCCGACAACACGACAGGACAACACCGTCAGCCAGGACAACCATCCTGGCACCTCGCCCACACATCATCATCCATCCCCCCCCCAACCACCAACTCTTGCTGTGATATCATGGTCGTTGGCGAGGCCCCACGAGTGACCCCATCCCGAGAATTTGTGGTGACAAGGCCCTGGCGGAGTCCCTGTGCCATGATGCACAAGGCCTTGTGAGAGCCTATTTGATCTATCCTTCATAAGCCAAGCATTTTTGTCATAATTTGAGGAATGTCATAAAGTTGAAATAAATTCTATCTGAAAGATCCCGAGATGCTTGTTATTGCTTTTTGCTATTTCTCTCTTTGATGAATGTCATGCTTTCTTTGCTGGCTTTCCTGACTCTAAATTCCTAGCAGCCATATACAATCAGCAACATCAATGGCTTTTAACTGTTATACCTCCTGCCTCTGGTACTCTATTCCAAGTCAAATCAGGAAATCTGTTGGCACAATCAAATATTTCAAATAAATTTGTTAACTCATATTTGTTTGCGTTGCTCTATTTTTTGAGCTGGTTAAAATAATAATAATAATAATTGTAAAGTGCCCTGGGATGCTCCAAATGAAGAGCCCTTATATACAAGCAAACTTTTCTGAATTGTTTCCTAAAAGCCCCTTTCACCAAGAAACTTAATCACGTGCAATTTTAAATTAAATAAATGTTGCTGCACCACAGTGCCACTCATTACGATGACTCAAACATGAGCTGCACACACACCACTTTCTCAAGCATTCTTTTTGAGGCACGAGGAATGCTCTTATTTTGCAAACAGTCCGGACAAGTGGCCGAGTGGCGACACACAAGCATGCATGCATGTGTACAAGCCGCGCGCGCACACAAAGCACAACCGCGCTTTGGTGTGGTTGCGTCACGCATTCCTGGGATATGTGCGGAAATATTGAGGCTTCTCTGAGAGCCAGTGTGTGCCCGAGAGCCTCTCTGTTTGATCAGCTGTCACGATCTCTAAGTGCCAGGTACACCTTCAAGGCCACTCCCTAGGTCCATTTAGAGGGCCAGGTGTAACCAATAGATGTAATTCGAGACCGGCTGGGTGTTACAGTGCACACAAATATGCCCTTTTGGCTGCACCTGGCACGGAGAATTGAGAAGACACCTTTATAATGACCGCATTGTTGAGTTTTAAGAGATAGCCCGCGATGCCAAACTAGACCAGCGAACTATGTGGCAGTCGCAGCCAAATAAATGGTTTGTGGTATGCCCAGTTAATAGAAAAAAGAAGAGACCAGAATTTCTGGGTATTCATATTTTAAACAATTGAATAATCATTAGTTTGATGATGTGGTAAATCGGACTAGATAATTAATAAAAAATGTAATCGTAGCATAGAAATAAAAAATGCTCAAATTAGTTCAATTAGGCACACTGCTTACAATGTCCAATTCCACCCAATTAACAACTCAACAAAGCCTGACAGATACAATTTATTTCTTTAAAAAAAATTGTTATTGTAATATTAATTGTTAACGAGCATTGACAGTGAGACGAAAGCAGTTGTTTTTTTTTATGTATATCATACTAATTAAGAGACCTTAAATTTTCCCCACGTTCAAAATGACAATAACAAAACAACATTGAGAAATGTTTGGCGCAACTTAAGAACATTATTTAATAATTTTAAGTAGTAATAATGACACGGAAGCATAAGTTTCAAATAACACGCAAAAATACGTTAAAAAAGCCCTCGGCCGTGCGTGCATCATGCAAAAACCATCAGCGGTTTCTGAAGAACTGCATCCCTGTTCCTCTTGTCCAAGGTTACCATGAAGATACATTCTAGCAAACGTTTCCAACTGACAGCAGCAGTGATTGATAAATTAACTACTGGCTCAACATTACAATTATAAAAATGTGAGGTCAGCCATGCAATTCCTCTCTCACGTCACTGCTGGCAGAAGGGCCACCACCTACGGGAGCTCTGCTGAGCCCCTCGAGAGGGTAATTTTAGCCCATTATTCTACGCCCGCCAGATGCCCTGAAACAGGTGGGTAGCACCCACACCACCTCACCACACGCAGCCTGCTGATCGGCTAACTGCAACGTCACCCATTCATACTGCTGGGTGGGCAGCGGCGACAGAGGCGGGGATGGAATTAATTTTCCCACCGTTTCAACTTCTGCGCCACGGGATCGACACCGGCGACATTCCGGACCGCAAGTCGAAAACGCCACGTTCCAACCACGCACCGTGCCCACACAACCACTCACCCAGCAGCGCCTTCCTGTTGAGCGACTTGAAGCTGCGCGGGGACCAGTGCCCGCTGCTGCCGGACGACTGCTGCCCACTGTCGCTCACCGCCGACTCGTGCTTGTACGACGCGGGCGAGTTGGGAGCCGACCTCACCGTCATGACGGCGGCGGCGGCGGCCGTGGCGCCTTCCGCCGCCGTGGCCCTCGGCTCCTGTCTGGCTCCCGTCTCGTACCCGCTGCTGCTGCAGCTGCTGGTCCCGGCAAGGGGGCTGCCACGCAGCGCGCGCCGGATGGGAGCCACCACGCCGGCGACCGAGCCGCCGCCGCCGCTGCCGCCGCCCGCCAGGCCGCAGCCCGGTTTGACGCCCATCCCCCCGCCGCCACCCACGTTCTGGCAGTAGAAGAGCGCGGCGCTGCCCATGGCCGGCGGCATCTCGCCACTGAGCACGCTGCTCGTGTCGCTGCCGTGCCCGCTACTGCGGTGGTGCGGCCGCCGCGGCGCCGTCACCTTGCTGTAGGGCGACGGCAGCGCGAGTTTGACGGCCGAGCTCGACGCCGCGCCGGCGCCCGTGGAGGAAGAGGAGGCCGCGCTCGGCGATGCCGGCGCTCCGCCGGCCGCCGCCGAGCCTGCCGGGGGGGGCTTCTCGTCCGTCAGTTGCACCCCGCTGTCGTTGCCGCTGTCCGAGTCGGCCACCGTTGGGAGCAAGCCCCGGCTGCCGCGGCCACTCCCCATCGGCCCGATCGCCGCGGCCGCTCCGGCTGCTGTTGCCGCCGTCGTCGCTCCCGATCCTCCGGCGACCGGTAACGTCAGGTGCCGAAGGCGACTGCGGAGGGGACGTGGGTGAAGAGCACGCCTTGGGAGAGCCGCATGCGAGCTCCGAGACTCGGCTGTTGGCCGCTCGGCCCGCCTTGGAGGAGCTCTCCGACGTGCCGCGGCCCAGCTTGCTGCGCAGGGCCTGCACCGAGCGCGATAGCGTGGCGGCGCGGGAGCTGGCGGGCAAGCTGGAGCTCCGCGTGCTGCCCGGGTGTGGCAACGTCTTGGAGGAAGACGACGACGAGGAAGACGGTGACAGAGGGCTGAGAGGAGCCGCCTTGGCTGGAGGTGGGCCGCCGTTTGCCGACTGACTGCGATTCTTGGAGCCGAAAACGGAGGAGGATTTGGAGCAAAGCTCCGCGGCGAGCTTCGTGTGCGCTATCAGGGCCTCCTGCGCCAGGGTGCTGTGCGTTGACGATCCTCCATTCCCCGAAATCCTGAACATCAGTCGTCCCAGCCTGCTGCTCGCAGAGTTGGCATGCGCCACGCAGCCGTGTCCATCCGTCAACATCTTCGCGTCCGCCACATGCTTCCTGCTTCCAGTTCTCTCCATGCTGTCGCTCCTGCCCGTGAAGCTTCGCTTGAATCCTTGCTCGGCCGACAATTCCAATTTCCCCCTCGCCGGTGTCGAGCAGTTGGAGCCACCGCTGCTTCCACCCCGGCTGGGTGACAGCAATCTGCTGAAAGCCTCCTCCGTGTCGGCGTAGGAGAACGCGTGGTTCGCGCCAGGTGAATCCTTGCACCCCGCTCTGTTGCGCTGGTCAAGGCTGGACTTGCGGACCGGCGGTGCTGGAGGAGTGCTGCTCCTCAGTTTGGAAAAGAGGAACACGTTGGCAGTGCCACCGCCGGCGCTGCCACCGCTCGACTTTGCGGCTCCCTTTTTGCGATCCATCGTAGCGCTGTGCACCGTCGCCACTTGCTCCCGGTCTAGAGACGTCGCTTCACCGTTGCCGAGTCTCACAATGCCGTGCATCGCCGAAGACTTCCCGTGAGCGCTCGCTTTCGTCGGCAGCGTGTGCGAGTAGCCCCCATAGCCACCGCCGCCGACGCCGCTGCCGCTCACTCGGTCCACGCCCTGCATCTCTCCGCCAGCTCTCAGAGCGTCGCTGCTGATCCCCTGCCCGCCGGGTGCCTGGGAGCCACCGTTGCTTTGAGCGGGACTCTCGGCAGCTGTGCCAGCGCTCGTGCAGACGTCGGCAGGCTTCCCATGGCTCACGTTCGTGCTCTCCTCCAGGCCGTCCATCTCGCCATGCTCCCGCATCACCCAGGGATTTTCGAATGTCGACCTCGGCTCCGGCGGTTTGACGCAACCATCGCAGTTTTTGGCCTTGGGGCTCTGCCTGGCAGGAGATCCGGGATTGCCCCTAGATGGGACCTTTTCCAAGAGAGCCACGGCTGGCTTGGGGGTTATCCTGGGATGCACAGAGATGCCGCTCCTAATGACCGCCGGCTGAATCTTTGCACCGCCACCAGCTGCCACCTGCGCCCCGCTCGCAGGACACGGGAAGACGCTTTGCTTCTTGTGGTTTTCCAAATCGTCCTCGCCGTGTTTCGCAGACAATCTCTTCTCAAGGTTGGATATGTCCTTGAAGTCCCCGCAAATGATCAGACTTGTGCGTCGGCCACCTTCCTTGCTTTGCCCAGACTGCAGGTTTGGTGACCTTTCAAGAACGGTCCCCATTAAATCCCCGAAAGGTAATTTCTTAAAATCCCCAGCAAAGATGACTCCATTGAGCTCGATATTGTCCATCGTTTTAGTCCGTGCCCTAACCTGCTGGTAGCACCCATTCACAGGCGAGTGCCCATCCTGTGAGAGTCCGACAACGCCTTCCTGTTTGCCGTACTCCAACGACGACCGCATCGCCGGGAGAATTCGCTCCGCCTCCCCTTGCTCCCCGCTTCCCGCGCACATGGCCTGCACAACGAAGCTGTCGCAAGACTGCTCCCCCTCGCTCCCGAGGCTGCCGGCGTTGCTCAGCTCGCTCAGCCACGAGCCGATGGACGAGCGGCAACTGCTGTTGCTGCCGTTGCTGCTGCTGCAGTTGTCCTCGCCGGCGACGCGCCCCGAGAACGGCTCGCCGTCGAGCGCCGGGCTCGAGAAGGCGACGGGAATGCCCGCCACCAGCCTGGTCACGCAGGCGCCCGCTCCCGTGGCCGAGGACGAATGCAGAGGACTCACTGCCGGGGCCGCTGCCCCGGTGTCGGCCAGCGGCGGAGGAGGAGAGTACGGCTCAAAATCCACACTGACGAAGCTGACGGGACGCGAGCCGGGTGCCAACGCTCTCGTCGAGCAGTTGCTGGTGAAGCTGATGATGCTGATCGGCCGTCGCCCGTTGCCGCCGTTGCCGCCGGTGTTGTTGTTGTTGCCGCTGCCGTCGCCGCCGCCCAGGAGCGCGTGCAGGAGGTCGAGCGTGAAGACGAGCTCGTCGTCCGCGCCGCTCTCCTCGTCGAGTCGGCGCGCCGTCTTTTCGGCGGCAAAGGGGCCGTCGCCGCACGCGGGAGCCGCGTCCGCCTCCACGCCGCCCTCCGCGTCCGCCGCCGGCGACGGCCGCTGCGGCGCGAGGACCCGCTTGGCCACCTGGGGGCTCATTCCCACGGGCGGCGTCCTCGTCTGGAGGCCGCCTGCCGGGTGGGCCCTGCACGCCGTCGACTCCGTGCCTCTGCACTGCGGCGTTGTCCCCGGCGGAGGAGGGGCCGGGCTGGGCAGCGACCGCTTCCCCGTCGCCCTCTTCTCCGGGGAGGCGAGCTTCCCTCCCCGTTCGCCGCCCGGTGCGAGCGGCAGAGCTATCGGCACGCACGCGAGGCCGCCGCCCGGCGCCTTTCCCGCCCCGCTACCACAGCTCGGTATTTCGTTCCTGTTGATTTTATCCGCCGACACTTCGGAAGACACGCACTCCCCCTTGCCGCGTGCTTTGCAGCCGTTTCCGAGCGAGCACGGAGATGCGGGCACTTCATTGTTGTTGTCCTTTGCGGGTTCGTCCTCGGCATGCCACGGCGACCCGGCAGAGACGCCACGGCCGTCCGCCGTTCGCTCCTCTTCGGCCACGGTGGCCGCGGAGGCCTCGACGAACGCGAAAAACCCGGGCTCCTCGCTCCCATCTATGCAGTCCAGTCTCTCCTGCAGCTCGGCGAAGGTCTTGCACTTGAAGTGGTCGCGATCCAAGGGATTGGCCGGCTCCGCGGGTGGTTGTTCGCCTGCCGGCGTAGAAGTGGCATCGCCAGCGGCGTCCGCGGCGTCCGATCGTTCTACGGGAGAAGTTCCCGTTTGGCCTTCCATTGCCGCCACTGCCGCCACCACCGCCGCCCATGTGTCGCCCATCGCCACGGTGGGCGTGACCGGCGATGCATCCTCGCTCTCCCGGCTGAGCAGCGGTGCCCGGTCACCCTCGGCCGTCCAGGAGGCGGCCGAGGCGGCCGAGTTGGCCGAGTTTGCCGAGTTTGCCGAGGAGGCGGCCGAGTTGGCAGAGGAGTTGGCTGAGTTTGCCGAGTTGGACGACGATGCGGGGGACACCGGCACGGACTCGGGGGGGCCCTCGTTGTCGGTGAGGTCTCCACCCTCGCCGGCGTAGATGACCGTGTCGCATGACTGCTCGCTGCTCGACGAGTACTCCGCCTCGCTCGCCAGGCCCAGCCGGTGTGGAGGCCGAATGCCGGGGCTGCCCGCCGGCGGAGGAGGCTCAGGATCCAGGGCCATGAGGCGGGGGTGGAACGGGCGGATGGGCGCCGGGCCACGGTGGCCGCGCCCTTCCTCACATGAGCTGTCCCCGCCCGACGAACTGGACGCAGACTGGAAAGACGGGGAAACGCGCGCGCGCACGCAACGTTAAGCGGTATCTCGACGTGTCATAGCAGGGCTTCTCCGAGGCCAGTGATCTTCACTGCAAGGCCCGCGGGCCACTGGCGGGCCCCTGGTGGCCTTTAGTGCGGTCCCCGACGTGCGTCCCTCGACAATACACAAATGGTGAAAACACTCCCCATCATCATCGTGCTGCTGTCAAACCCCAATGGTTTAAAATGTGTGGCGGCCCTCACACTGACGGTTGAAAGTAGCTTCCCCTCTAAAAATTTGTGAAGAACACTGCCCGAGGCTGACTCTGTCCTCAAACGAGGAACTCGTAACGTTGCAGAAACGTCGTTACCGAAGGCGCGAGAGTGAGAGCGTGTGTGGTGGGGGGGGGCGGGGGTGTGTGGGGGGCCTCCCCCCACCCCTCACCCGAGACTTCTTCTTGCGCAGGCGGTGAACGCGCGCCGCCAGTTGCACGGTGGCGAGCGTCTCGGCGTGGCGGGCCGCCGCGGCCGACACGTGGGCGATCATCGTCGTGCGGCAGTTGATGTTGCCCAGCGACTCCTGCAGCAGCATCGTGAGCCGGCTCTCCCTGCCGGTTCCCCCCATCAACCCCACGGGAACACACAGCGACGCGGTGTCAATGCCCGTCGGCCACACGTTTGCCGCACGCTCGCGTACGAGGCGCGCGGGGGGAATCCGCGGCCCCGCGGGTACGTCGTGAGGCCTACCCACTCCTCAACGGATATATCGTCATCACTGCGAGCAAATCAGTGGCACTCATCGGGTACATTTTTTGACCTGCAACACTGGCTTTGTAATGTTGGCACACGCATTCAAATCTGTTTTGTGCAAGGGCCTATTCTTTATTGGTCGATATTGCTCACCGCTGATGTCAGATGCGGCTGGGAGTTGAACTCAAATTGCTCGGCGGGTTCACAGCAAAGTTACGTTAGCCACTGTGCCACCACTGCACCTGGCGTTTTTGTATGTGCGTGTGTATATATCGTAGATGATCTAGAAAAATTATATATGCAGAGAGTAGACGCGTGACAGGTTGATCCTGCTGCAATTAACTAAAATGGGAATTCTTCATGAATTATTTAGAAATGTTCTCCGATGGAGTAAATTATGTAAATTTAAAATTTCAATTAGATTTCAATTAAGCAATTCAAAACACTGCACAAATTAACTTCAAACTGCGTTCATCATTACGGCCGCCATTGTGCTGCGCTGATGAAGAATGTACGTCTGCGAGTGCTTTCCTGCGTATGTCACCCATGCAGCGAATACATGCTGTGCACACAGGTCAGTATAATGTGTGTGTGTGGATTTCCTTTCATCTCATTGGGAGAAAATAAATTGCTCTCAGAAGTCAGTCAAAAAATTATTCTCAACGCTGGGTTCAAAAAAACCTCATAAATGCTGCGTGTTAGGAAGACATCTCAATTAAATATATATTGTTCACGGTTTCTCCTGCTGTTAAACGACAGTTTAGATGTTATTCATTAGAGTCTTTTCATTTTGCATAGCCACCAGTACAGACACGCTGAACAAAAGGAAGTACTTGATATTTACAAGGGCTGGGGGTTTGGAATTTGGCACATTACTTGTCTTTTTTGTGGTTTAATTAGTGCTCTACACAACACTAAATTAACATTTACGTGTAGCTGCCGACTGGTAACAGAAACAAGGAGAACGAAAACTAATAAGGCGGCAATGAATTTACACCGAAACATTTAATTGATTTTGTTTGTCACGAGAGCGGGGCAAGCTTTGACTCTTTTCATCGGCTTTGTAGACACAAAAGCAATCTTCGTAATTCTCATAGAAATAAACAACAACAAAAAACCCAATTGGCGAACAACTAGATAAATTGACGACACAACTTAAACAAAGCCTCTTGCGAAACGTTGAGGCGAACACGGTGGGGTGACTTGCTACCCCATCGTCTTTGCTTTGCATCCATCATTGCCAGTTAGCTTCACGCAAATTTAATTCTCACCCTCTGGACTCACTCCCCTTTAGTAGTAAGCTCAGACTTTAATCACCTACCACATATTGCAAAACTGTTTATATTTAAAACAATTGTCCCCCTTTGGGTTCAATCGAATGAGGAAAAAGGGAAATCTTATTATCCTATTGCTATAGTAGCCCCCCCCTTCCCCCCCACCCGTCATATGAACGTGGAATTTCCACCGCTGGTTCAGGACCTACAACAGCGACGAGCACCAGACCCAATTTCCATTCGAGTACGTGGACCCAGGTTCACTTCTGAGAAAGGCGAGTTTGTAAAGAAAATTAACGGAAGGAAAATCTCGAATGGATCAAGGAGACACGTGGACTGTGAGGTGCCCCCCACATCATGAACCTGCGCTTGCCCCCTTTCTGGCCGTTCCCAGCCTTTAGGAGCCCGCTGGCCACTGCCAAACCCTTACAAATGTTTTCGTCGACCACCGTGCACCGATAACATTTTTTGGTCCAAATTTTAAATAATCGGAATTGTAGGATTTGTTTTTGCAGACCACTGATGTAGGGCACGTGCTTACCCCTTTGCTCTTACCCATTGGGTACATGCTTACCCCACTGCTGTTACCCACTGGACACGTGTTTACCCCTTGTGCTCTGACCCACAGGTCGCCTTATATGTCCCATAGGGCATGAAGAGGAGAAAGTAAAGTCTGACTCACAGGACACATGCTTACTCTCTTGTTGACCCACAGGACACGAGTTTACCCCCTTGCTCTGACCACAGGACACATGTTTACCACCCTTGCTCTGACCCACAGGACACATTCTTACCCTTTTGCTCTGACCCACAGGACACATGTTTACCCCCTTGCTCTGACCCACAGGGCACATGCTTACCACCCTTGCTCTGACCCACAGGACACGTGCTCCGTTCTGACCTGTAGGGGATGTGCTTGGCTCCGTTGGCGAGCGCGAGGAGGACGCTGCCGAGGGCGCTGAGCGAGAGGCACATCCCCGAGCCCGGCTCGCGGCTCTTGCACAGGACCTTCTCGCAGCTGCCCAGGTCCATGAGGTGGAGACGGCTGCGTCCGCCCGTCACTGCCGCCACCGCCGCGAGGGTGGGAGGAGGGGCACAGGGCACATTGTCCCGTTATACACTTTGGGGGGGGGGGGGTGTTACACGAGAAGAACTAAATACTTTTGAAATTTAACTAAAATTTGTAATATCTGCCTGCTTTTGAATGTACAATTTCATGTTTGCATCACTTATCATTAAAAGACGTTCTTGGCTTTCTGCTTGGTCACCAATGACCAAGCAAAAACTATGGGAATCTTTATTTTACCTTCCAGGGCATGGAGCAAAACGTCAGACACGGTGCCGTATAAAATTCAGTTTAATCGAAAAGCACAACCACGAAATCCTACGCGCAGTTGGCGCTCGCTTTGCCCCTGAACCACCGGGACACACAGCTACGGAGGGGCCTCATCGTATCAAGGGACACCGCGGCACTCACTTCAGACAGGTGAAGTTGCTTTTGTGGTAATTTGTCATCACCAGGACAGACAGGGGATAGAGGTCATCCTAGCCTCAGTGGCCACGTTAAGTAAGCGGCTAACCGAGTGTCCCATCATTGAAGTTCCTACGCAGTGATGTTGTAAGATGATCATCTTCCCGTGATTCTGTCCCAGTTTCCGTCTTGGAGCTTTCCACTTTTAAATCATCTAGATTGAAAACTAATTTCTTTAGAATTGTTTTTGTGTTTAGTTTGTTGTCCTTCCCCCGCACCTCCGATAAGCACATTTCAACATATTAAACTAAACTATTTTTTATTTTACCAGGCAAGGCCCACTGAGCTACATTGGTCTTTTTCAGAAGCCACCTGGCCACAAATGATAGCTCAACGAAGTGGCTTATCACGTGGAAATTTAAAGCAGACAAATATTCTAAATGCGGAGGCAAAAACTGGAAGACCCGGAGAAAAATCCACTCGACCACGGGGAGAACACTTGACCACGGGGAGAACACGCCAACTCCAAATATACAGGAGTCAAGGGTCGGGGTGATCGAACCCACGACCCTCCTGTATACCAGGCAAGGTAGTTAACATCTCACCACCGTGGCGCCCCATACACAAGAGGTGGCGGGGCACCCTACCCCAGGACGGCACGGCGCGCGACACGGACGCGTGCGAGGGCTTACTGCCGCCGCGCCCGCCGCGCTCCATGCGGTACTGGTAGACGTGCAGCGTGAAGAGCATGTGGGAGTTGCGACGGTCCTCCTCGCTGGCGTCCGCCGCCCCGCCCCGGCGAGCCGCCACCGCCGCGTCCAAGAAGCCCGCGGCACGCTCCGCCGTGGAGGCGCGCAGCTCGTTCTGGTTCTCCAGCTAGCGGGGAGGGGGAGCGACGGGGGGGGGGGGAAGGTTGACCTCAGGGGTAGTGGGCTGCTCACCACCGCCCACGACATTCTGCAAAGGTGTCGAGAGGGCAGAGCCGGTGACGGAGCAGGGATAAACAAAACTGGTGGAGGTTAGAGCGGCGTCACTCCGGGGATTCCGCATTAAGCCCACCACTAGATTGGTGTGGAATTTAAATGAGGCTGTTGTTGAAAGGAGCGCTACTATTCAAAGACAAAGATCCCCCATTTAGCCTTTAACAAAATGTAAGGGAAAAGTGCTGTTAGTGAGCACCTACGATGGCCAAACACGGCATGTGAGAAGGTGGGTGGTCAGCACCACGCCCGGCCGCCTTTGTCTCCCCGGTGCCAACGTTTAGACAATCCACGAGATACTCATTTGAGGCTGAATTGACCGAGGGCAGGCCCAGGACTGGTTCAGATATTCGTGACCCATGTTGGCTGTGAGCGGGAATCGAACTTGGGTCGCGGTGCACAAACCACTACGCTACAGCTCCCCACTGTACACTATACCCACACTGTATATATCGTGTGGGTATAGCCCAGACTATATATATAGTGGGAACAGGCCTTTGTCCGAAAACTGATTGAAAGAGGGGTGATATATTGTTGTTTTTTAAAATACAATTGCATTCATTCAGCGTCTAAACGCAACTGCCACTCTAGGCGCTGGATAGTATTCCTGCTCATCGTGCCTAAATGCACACACAGCACACACACACAGCACACACACACAGCACACACACAGCACACACACACAGCACACACACACAGCACACACAGTGACACACACAGCACACACACACAGCACGCACACACAGCACACACACACACAGCACACACACACAGCACACACACAGCACACACACACAGCACACATACACAGTCCGCATACTGCGCGTCTGCCCCAGTGGACGTGGTGAATCGCCTATGGCCCGTATCGCAGTATAGTTATCACGAGAACGCGGCTATTCTGATCATTCCCGAGGTGGAACATCGTTTTTGTTCGGGGTGGAGGTGGGGTGGTGCTCTTCAAGATGGATTCTAAACGTGCCATCAGCCTGCTGTTATGAGATGAAGCATCCAGTGATATTTTTTAATTTACCTATTTTCAATGAGAAAACGTGTGGATTTGTGTCATTCCTTCACAAAGTCCTGGTAACAAAAGCAAAGTTTGTGGGGAATAATAGCCATTTTCTATACTTTTGAGGCGTAAGCAATAAAAAAAATAACACTTAGTACCCAGGAACAAAAATTGTGTTACATCGTGTCATCTGTGAATGCACCAACGGTTTCTGCCACACCAGCATATCTATAACCATCACGGTACCCTGCAGCTGGGACAGCAAAGGTGGCTAGTGTTTTGCGCGCGTGTGTGTGCGCGTGTGCACGTGTGTGTGCGTGTGTGCGCGTGTGCGTGTGTGTGTGCGCGTGTGTGCGTGCGTGTGTGTGTGCGCGTGTGCGTGTGTGTGTGTGTGCGTGTGTGCGCGTGTGTGTGCGTGTGTGTGTGCGCGTGTGCGCTTGTGTGTGTGCGTGTGTGTGGCTACATCGAGGCGTTGTGTACATCGCGTTTTCAACGAGGAGACACCGTCACGAATTGCTCAATGTTGCTGCCTATATTTCGTCTGTGAAAGACGTCAATGTATTTGGCTCAATTTACTCAAATAACTCCCATCATGGAATTCCCAGACTGGTTTAGGCTATGACATTATTACCAGGCAAGGGATGCTATTGGGTGGACCATTTAATTAGTTGCTCAAATTATGATTGTTATCCGTTTGCAAATGATAAAATAAAATTGAATGCGGTATATTTATTTTATTAGAAATATCTACATAGAGAGCACATACCACCGCATTCCCAGTTCTGTAACAATATATTTCATTGTTGAATATAATATAGGCCCAGATCTGGAATATGCCATTATTATTATTATTGTTGTTGGGTTTTAATATTGGCTGAAAACCACATTCTGGAATGCAGCGAGTGAATGGCCACAGTCCCATTGCCAACGACTGCACACAAACAAATGCATCATTGTTTTATAAATATCAAGTTTTTTATTTTATTTTTTCCTTCACCAAACGTTTAGCAATAGGTGTCGTACCATATCATGGCACCAATTACAAATGTCACAAAGCTGGGTTAGACAACAAGTTCGCTCTTACCCATACTCAGGGTAGTGTCCTTTCCCACAAACCCTGCTGTCTTGTAGCCCATCTCTGACCTCAGATTTACACAAACGAAGTGATAAATCTAATCTCAAGTGATTTTATGGAAAAAAAATACTGCCCGCAACATGTTTTTGTTTATTGTGCTTGTGGACGACTGCTAATCCAACATCTGCAATTCATTTGATTATTTTCTGTGCAGTCAAAGTTGACTGGCCTGAAGACGGCTAACATCAGTGTAAAGTGATATTAAAACCGATGCTGCTTTCTTCCCCCTCCCCCCCTTTAACAAACACGTACTGGACAGTATTGTGAGGTATGGTCAAACTCTACCCCCCATGACTAACATGGCATGCTCGTAAAAACGAAATGTAGTAGTTGTAAATTTTTATTTATTTAATTTTTTACCTACGTGAATTTACCAAAAAAAACCAAAGTGTATGGATCCTTGCAGTCACGAAATCTAGAATTAACATGGCATGGTGAAACCTTTATCCATTGGCTTATTAAGAATAGGTAAAAAGGTGAAGGTGCAGCCCTGCAATTGCTTGCTCTCCGATAGAGGGAGCTTTAGAGCCTCATCAAAGTGTATTTTGCCAACTCTTCCACGTTGGCAGATGTCTTGGAAGAGATGTGAGTTACCCACTCGTTACCCCGCCGCACGCGACCTGCCCACCGACTGACTGTGGTAAACCCATTCTCACTGCTGGGTGGACAGAGGCAGGGGGGGTGTAAGAAGCTTGCACGACTGTTTCAACTACCGAGATAGAATCGAGCCAGCAACCTCCAAGTCCAGTGTGCCAACAAAGATCGCCCGCATAGCATTAAGCAGACTCTTGGGGCAACTGCAATTAGCGAGTACCTCGGTAGGCCGGCACGGGACACGAGGGGATGGGTGGCCAACACCACGCCCGGCCACCGTACCAGGTACTCATTTGAGGCCAAGTCGACCTAGGAGAGGCCCTGGATCTGTTCAGACAATCGTCACTGGGTGTTGGCCGTGAGCGGGAATCGAACTAGTGTCACCGGGCTCATAGCACAGCGTAGCACTGACAAGCTACACTGCCGCTCCCCCACCACAACCACACAACCAGAATGGCTTGAATGGATGAATGGCTACGTCGTTAAATGAGAATGGCCCGGCCCACCTGCGTGCCGCACACAGGGTCCTCGCGGAGGAAGACCCCGGGGGACTGATTGTCGTCCTGCGTAGTGCCCGACGCGACGTCACTCAGGAGGTCGTCCAGGGCCTCGCCGCGCCCCGACACCTCCACGGCGGAGACGCGGACCGAGAAGCGTGCCCCCGTGCGCTCCTTGCGCTCCTCGATGAGACGGAAGAGCCACGAGATGGCACACGGAGCCACGCCGAGCGCCTGGCTCGAGTCTCCGCTGCCCAGCATCGTGTACGTCTTACCTGCAGCGTCATCATCATCGTCGTCACCACCACGATCATCACATCACCATTGCATTACTAGCTTTGAACCGGCGAGGTGGTTCCGGGGAAGGTTGCGAGTTCAAATTCGCGACGAACGCGTCGAGACACATGTCGATGGACGCGCCGACGCTGTGACCTCACAGCGTCTTGAGACCCACCGTATCACGGTTCAGTTCTGGGCTCGACACAGCATATATCCAGTGGAAAAATCACTGGGACCGCGTGCCAGTGGAAAAGGAATAGTATTTGCTTGCTATTACCATGGGTGCCCCAATATCATCCGATATCAGAAGCTAAGCAGAGTTGAGTCTGGTTAGAACTTGGATGGGACACTGCATGGGCTGCGAGGTGGCCAGTCGATGGCAGTAGAGAAGTGTGGAGTGGGAAAAAGTGTTACTCCCAACCAGGCCCTCCCCACGTGTGTCAGTTTTCTCCGGGTACAATTCATGGGATTGGCCAAATACAAAAAGAGTTGTGAGACTCAGAGAGGCTTTCCAAGCAAAATAAAGGAACTTATTATAATTAGTACAGTGGTCGTAAGAAGCTTCTGCTCGGATAGGACAAAGTCAGTTGTCATTTAAACAGAGTATGTTAGGTGAAGGTAATTGCAACCCAAAAATAAAATAATTCTTATCTTATAGATATGCACTCAGGCAGGGTCTCCAAGGCTATACCATACCAGTTCGAAGCTTCGTTAATTATAAAAGGAAATGAATTATTTCATAGCATGCTTGAGTAATGCCACCCAATTAGTGTTCGATTACAATTCTACGAGTGACATTACAGTAATGATCCTGAGAGTGGTATTATTGCGTGCCTGCCTCTAATTTTCAAGGACACAACCTCGGGACATGTAAAAGCAGCGGAATAGCTATCGAGTGTGCAGGCACGGCAACTGCACCAGGACCTACAGGCTGGAGGTGCCCAGGCTCTGGGCTACAAAAAGAGGGGAGAAATTCGAAAGCCCCCCCCCCCTAACCCTTTCCCATTCTGATGACGTACGTATACGTCTTCAGTTAATAACTGTATCGGTACGTCTTCAGGCCACAAGACATACCGAGGCTCCCACGAGGCCATGCGGGAGGGCGTGGCACAGTTTGGCACCAGCTATAATAGAGTGTGGTCGTGTCGCTAACTTATCTGCGGTGAGTAAAATGTCTTTAGATTTTTGTCCTTCCCACCCACCTCCAATTGCCATGGTTGGCTACGTATGGTGCGAAAGAAGTTCAACATACATACACATGCCTCTCTAAATTAAATTAACGCTAACCGCTTCCACGTTTCAAAGATTCAGCGTTGACCAACACCCAACCTGCAACGTGCAGATGTCTCAGAACGGGAAAGGGTTAATAGCAAATGCCAACCATGCAATGCCACTATTTACAAGATAATATTTATTTGTTTTCTGGGCTGTGAAGAAGATACATTAATTTACGGAACAAAATTGCTAAACCTGCAGGTGTAAATGGCTTTTGTTGCAATCTCCGAATCTGTTAACTCCATGCACGCGCAAGGAAATCTTTTTTTTTCATTACTCCGAAAGGAGTAAAGTCAGCCGACCAATTTCCTTGTCCTGTAATATTTAGGTGATCCAATAGCACCACATTTGCTGCCTGTGAGTACAGGCAGTTTCCACAGAGGCGCACATTATACACATTTTCTGACGCTGAAAATATCTATCCGGGAATGAACCCAATTACACAATGTCTCGGGAAGACTAAATATATTTTATATTCGGTGTTACCAAAGAATGAAAAACATAAGTATGGTGTGATAAGATGAGCGAAGATGTGAAAATGAGCTGAGAGAGAACGGCTACAAAGCAATCATTACTGACAATTCCGAACGTGGCATATGCAGGACACATCTCGAGAGGGTCACAGCTGGAGATATAAGCAAGATAATTTCTGCATGTTGAAGCGGAAGGGAAGAGGGTGATGAGGATGGTTCCGGATCGGCTGGTGGGACCAGTGTGAGCAGCGGGACTTTTGCAATGGGAAGAGGCTGAAGATCTCGAAAGATGGAGGCGCCTACGTCATTGACACCAACCCTCAATTACCCAGTAAGCATTGCAACATTGGGCCAACCGTTGGTTGACGTCGGTTCAACGTTGGGGAAAAAGTCGACCGACGTTGGCCCGACGTTGCATGTTCACCGCGTGTGCGGATGGCACGTGCCAGGTCGTTCATCTCAAATAACCAAACCGGTGGGTTCTCGCTCACGCGAATAGCAGGGTAACGAGAGTGAGTGTCGAAAGGCACGCTCGCATAAATGACTCTGCCCTCCCGAATGTGCCTCTTCCTCCCGTTACCGAGTTTGGCGTTTCCAAAGCAGAAGATGCATCCATCGGCTCCATTCACCACCGACTGGATGATCTCCGGCACCGCGCCAGCGCACACCTCCGCCTACAGTGCACAACAAACAACACAATAGAGGGCATTCAACGCACGTGTGTTTGTGTGTGTGCAACGAACAGCCAATAGTATAATGAACAGCGATAATATAATGCATGACAATACAGATTTTCCACTCGCTGCAGCATGGTCTTCCCACGACGTGTTGGTCATGGTGGTAGTTTGATCATACTTCACCATTGCTGGTCAGGCCTTGTGGTGACTACGCCGGTAATATGATCACATTACATGTAACGTACAAAACGTTTAAATAAATGTATCTTGCATCCAGAATGCAATGCATGTGTAGTGAAGCATTCGAATGGAATTTTCTTGATTTAATCAACGCTTACCTCTTCTCTAGCACCCATTATCTTCCTCTTCCCTCCCCTCACCCCTCCACGCCTTCCCGTCCCCTGCCAACCCTTTCATGATCCCCAAAAAACCCCTCTTTGCATGCCCCTGCTATCTAAATCATTCCACTCGGTCACCGTTTATTAAACCAAGTCAAGTGCCTTGAGTAAAGGCGCTCTATAAATATAAGATTAGATTTAATTACACCCACAGCATTTGACATGGGCTAAATATCATGAAAATCATCTACGAAGAAGCACACAGCAATCGGCTAAAATAGATGGGCTCTGAAGACGCACGCTGGTGCTCGTGAAGCCGGCAGCGCTGTGAGAAACGTCCCCGTGAGCCGGGGAGACAAGTCCTCGTCGCGTCTAGACCCGATTGCAACAGCGGCGGACGTCGGAGCAAACAGCCAAAGTGATTTCCTCCTCAACTTAACATTGCGGTGGCGCTCAACCCCTTTGTTGCGGCCGTGAGCGAGTGGTGGAAATTCCATATTCCTATGACGGGGGTGGGACTATACACAGGATAACTGCTTTTGACCTGCTCACGAGTTATAATCTCGCTACCCCCACCAGAGTTAACCACCCCGACCACCTCAACCACCCAAGAACCTTTCGAGCCACTCCTTCTCCCACCGAACCAGCTTGGCCATACGATGGTTGTGACCGTCGGAGGAACTCAGACGGTCGCAGGAGGCCCACAAACAAATGCGACTTCTATTCGAATCGCGCTGCCGTTTGGAGCGCGATCGCCCGGCGGGGTTGGTTTGGCCCCGCAACGCAAAAGCCGGGCGGCGGCACGGTCAAGACGCGAGCATTTCCTCGCTGCTGTCAAACAATGGGGATGCACGGAAGCATTTGTGTTGCCCGTGGCCTGCTTAAAACGGCGAGAGATTGAACACTGGCAGAGGAACGGCCTGCTCCGGCGGAGACCGTTGTGCAGTATTTATTGTAACAAGACAGATGGGATAGCGTCGTGGGGGGGTAGGGGGTGTTGGTCACCGCGATCGCTTGTGCCGCACGGAAGCCTGGGCCGGAATTGGGCAATGAGAGAATTGGAGGCGGCTTGGCTCGGAGGAGGAGTGGCGCTCCCCCTCCGAGTCAACCCTCAGGAGCCCCACGCCGGAGTTCAAAATGCCATTCTGGCTTCGCGAGGCTGTGACGCACTGACATAATCCCAGGTGGGAGGGGGTGGCATGGCATCATCATCATCATCCTGGGAAGTGGATATTAAGCCATGCGTTTTTATCCGTCCTGCGTCGCGCGTTGGCGAGCGCAAATGGAATTGTTGTGAAATGTAAAATTTTTAGCAATTGCCGTTTGTAATCACGGAGGCCTGGCTTCGCAATTCATGAACGAATCTAAGATTTAACCGCACGGTTAAGCCGAACTCTTCATGTGCGCGTCAGATGTACTCTGGTTTAGCGAGGAGTAATTTTTTGGATTGATATCAAACTCGGCTTATTATAATCAAAGCGCTAGTCTCTGCATCGAAGCGGGTGATACGCCTGGCAAGACAACGCTGACCAACTACTGTACATGCACCTCTGCACTCAAGGATAATTGCTTAGCCAGAGTGCTATCCATTCAATCCTGTTTTTGAAAATATACTAACAGTGTCGGTCATTGTATAGCTATTACTCGCACCGTAATAGGAAAATGGCTGTCATACAAATAATTTGTTTCAGACGTTGTGCCTTGATCAACAACAGTAATCATTTACAGCTCTTTGTCAATCAACTGTCGTGGTGTTTTTTTTTTCAAATCATACTTCAACACGCTGGTCAGCGGTGCAGATTGGTGAAAGGGGGCGCGTGTGGACGGATGCCTCGGATGCATTCGGATGTCGCTCGCCATGGCTAGAAATCAAACTCAATTCACTGGATTGCAGCACAGCATGCTAAGCACTGCGCCACCACTCCCCCCACTGCTACCAACATGCATGTATTAATGCACTGCAATTCAAAACGTGTTTACATTTAAGCAGTCAAAATTCAAAAATGTCGAAGGCATTTGATTTACACTATTAGACTCAACGTTTTATGATCTTTCCATATCCGTTACAACAGTAATTACATGCACGAGTGCACGTACAGTGGCAATGGTCTCCTACCCACAGTGACCTGCAGACATTTTTTGTTTTAAATCAAATGGTATGAGTCTCGCACCAGCCTGCCAATAATGGAACGAATCTTTACTGAAGTTAACCTTGATAGGAAGGACAGCCAATGCTGTGAGTCTACGGGTGTCTGTGCGAGTCTATGCGAGTCTATGGACTCTTTGTCTTCACCGAATTGGTGCAGCCTTGCACCAGCGTGCCAAACATTGAGCATATTTTTACTGAGATCATTGGTGATTTGATGGACAGCCAATACTGGGAGTCTATGGGTCTCTATGCGAGTCTATGGATGTCTCTGCAAGTCTTCACTGAATCGGGGTAGCACTAACACGCCAAGCAAGAGACGAATCGCCGCTATCCTCACCGATGTCATCATCGATACGGCAAAGCGGCCAGTGAATATGGATGGGGGCCTCAAAACGTGCATAACGTTTCGTAGGTGGAGTTTTAGTTAGTCAATCGTTCGAAAAATGTCTTGACCACATCCAGTAATGTACGAGGCACACGGTCACACTTGTCATGCTCATACGTAAAAACCCTAGCAATTAAGCACAATTGCTGAGGCAGTGCATATGGAGATGCCCGAGGATAAAACAATAGAGAGGAAAAATGTTAATCACAAATAAGGAGACTGTTTTAATGCTGCAAGCAATATTCCAAAAGGAGACTGTGTCATATAAAATAAAAAAACCTCCTTCCTATTATTCAGCAGAATTACTTGCCAATGCCAAAGCCACAAATTCTTCTGGCTGTGGCATGAATATAAAGTAGACTTATTTGCCTCCAAGCCTGCACCATCATACCGTAAAACTGAGCAATTCCCTCAACCGGATATGGCTCGCTAAAGAAGAGAACCCGTTAACACCCTCCTCATGCGACTCCCTAACTACGCTGATGAAATGCAATTAAGGAACTGCAACTTCCCGCTTTTCCACATTGCTAATCTACAATATCACGTGGACTCGTACGACGAAACGAGCGAGAGCGTTTGTCCCGACAAATGATGTGAAAACGTCGGCTCAAACGACCCCTTCAGGATGCACACGAGCTTGCTTTGTACACCGGTGACGGCCACAGTTCCAGGTTTACACATCGTAGCGGGAAGGGTTAATGCTGGCAAAAGCAGTATATTTCGTACCAAGATTCGTCACAGGCAATTTATCCCGCTATTTTTTTTTCCTTCTGCTGCCGGGCTTGGGAATCCATCCTGCAGTAGCTTTGCCCAAGCTATTAAACGTGCCGCCCTAAAACCCTCCTCAGGTCGGAATGGAGAGCGCGCAAGCCGTATTTACGTGGCTGAGACAGGTTTAGGTTGCTGAGCCATCGCTGCCCACGATCCCACAGTGGCTAATAGGCTCCTCCGGCTGCTACACGGGATGCTTCCGACTGTGGCTTGCAGCCACCGGGTTAACGATTTTCACGGAAACTACCGCGCCTCTGTTAATGCGGGCCAGGTACAATGCATCACTCTCTCGCACCGCAGGCGACTCTGATGCCGGGTGTGTTCTTCTGCAAACGAGGCTCCACATAGATGAGAGTGTGTGTGGATACAAGCGTGGGTGGAGTGGTGGCGTAGTGGTTAGCGCACGGTGCAACAAGCTGGCAAGTGAAATCAATTTCCCAGTCACAGCTAACGTCAGTGGCGAAAATCTGAACTTTTTCTGGGCCTTCCCTAAGTCGACTCAGCCATAAATAAGTGACTGGTGGTGATGAAGGTGCCCGGGCGTGGTGCGTGTCACACTACCGCCCTTGTACGCCGTGCCGGCCTTCATAGTTCCCCGCTAACAACACGTTCCCTCTGAGCCTGGTAGAGGCTGTGTGGGGATCTTTCTTTTGGTATGCAATTGCAGGGATTTTGCTTTGCAAGAGTAAAACTGCACGTAACTATATTTGTTGAACTTGTCCTCTTTCTAAATTATGTACGTACGTTGAACGTCTTTCCCATCGTACGTAGCCAACCGTGCTAATCTGAGGTGTGGGGGGAAACATTTCATTAGTTTATCCAGATTTTTTTTTTTTATGCCAATAGTGTAAACAGCAATGGCTGCTTCTTCAGGACGGTTCTCCATCGGGATGTTTGGCGAACTCCAGTGGTGAGCGTTGAGCTTGTGAAATTAAAATGGAGTAGCCTGAGGAAACCCACACCACATGAGGGTGGTTATAAAAGTCCACACAGACAGATTCAATAATCCATTGCTGTGGCAAACATCTGCCCTTCCCAAACCTACAACATCTGGTGTTCTCAGATAGACCCCACGTTCATCACGATCATCGGCCAAGATCAAACCAATGCTGGGTGAAGGCCTCCTCTGCCTTGGTCGCCGCTATCCGATCCGCCCAGCGTTTGCACCAGAGCTGATTTCCATCATTCCATCTCCGTGGTGGGCGTCCTCCAAGGCGGTTTTCCCTCCTTTCTGCCACTCGGTTGTTACTCTCAGATTGTGCCACAGATCGCCAGCATTAGCCTCGTGGCGTGGCTTCACAAGCTCTATCCAACAGTGCTCATGGGAAACAACACAAGCGTCCTCAAATTACACGTTATTTATATTGTCCGCAATGGCGCTAATGATTTCTTTGTGTTATCCATCTTATAGTTGTGCGTCGAACTCGGACCCATGTCTTACAAGAGAGTGTTCTTGCCTATTACATCTGCGAGCTCAACAGCAATGAGTCAAGCAAAGCTCATGAGACAGTGTACGTCAAAACCAGCTGAGACTTTGCTTGTATTGGGTTAATGCTGCTCAATGTGTGCACCCCCAGAAGGCCATGCGGCTGTTGGCTCGTTTAAAATCTACTTTTACGTGGAGGGACAGACATGTGAAGGGGAGATATCAGTCTGCTTATCTATTTTGTGATCTCACGGAACATCCGTCCTCCTTCCGCTGCCATTTGCGCAAATGCATGAAGATATAACTAATGGCTGGTGGATGATGAAGATATAATGTGTATGAGACACCCACTTACAGCACTATGAGGTAAGCCTGCATCGGAGAATACAACAATTAGGTTGATAACCTATCTGTGTGGCGCTTCAGTTTTATCCCCACGTCACTATTGCAAATGAGACAGCCCTGCCTCTCTTTGCGTTCTGACCAAAGTAAACAAAACACAAATTATATTTCACTTGAATCAACGTCTCAGATGTGCAGCTTTGCTCCAATCACCTCTGGTTTCCTGAGACTCGCGTGCATCTCTCATTGCACACATGGCCTCACAAACCAAAGTGGCTGCCATTGTTCAACACGTTTTTTTCTCCCCCCCCCAACAACCACGACGAGTCTCCACCCAGCAATACACAATGGCTGGACGTGTTTCCTTGCTACGTCTCTCTCTGTCTCTTACCACCACTGCACGAGCCATTTTTTTAAAAGTCGGGGGCCACATTTTAAAGCCACCGAGCGTATCCGTGCGAGTTGTTTTTTTATTAAATTGGGGTCAGAGGATTCGTGCGGATTGTGGGTGGGAGTAGATGAGAGCAAGGCAAGTCGGTACCTGGCTGTGTGTCCATAAACAAGCAATGACACCATAAACTACAACGTGCAATGTATATTAGTACAGATAATAACACTTGCCTGACATGTTGCATATTATACATTTGTCATAATAGAGGTTTTTTGGGTTAGATCGCGTGAACATAAATGTGTCGTTAAACCCGCCACCACCCAACACAGCCAATTAGTAAGATTTATCACGTAAACAAAACATGCCAATTCGTTACTAGTTCAGCACTCCGGTTTGTTGGAGAGTAAACCTACAACATGTACAAGTTGAGTAGGACATTATGCCGGTAATTACAACCAGCCTCATCAGGCGACAGCCAGAGCTGCATCACATGTATTTTAGTTTTCCTTTAAAAGACAGCGTTTTAGTCATTTGTGCTAGTGCGCCACTGCCAACGCGGCCGCGCCATACGACTTGTTTCCGCCGGCGCGCGCAAATCGGCGGAACCATTTCTTGCCTGCGATGCATCCTGGGAGAAGACGGCGTCGAAGGGGAAGATTTTTGGCACCGCCACCCCGGCACGGCGGAGCGCGGCATTCTGGGAGCTGGCCCCTGCCGCGGCGGCGGGGTCGTAGAGCGTGACCTGCTTCCTCCGCGGATCCACCTTGAGCGCCGCCGAGCCGGAGGCGTCGCGGCGAGCCGGACACACGCGCAGCATCACCTTCACCTGCCACCGCACGACACGTCGGGCCACGGCACAAATATGATACGTTTTGATTGACCTGATCAAAGTTATGGTAATTAATCCCCAATTTATAATCTAAACTATTTGTATTTTACCAGGTAAGGCCCACTGAGCTATACAGCTCTTTTTCACAAGTGGCCTGGCCACAAATGATAGTTCAACGAAGTGGCTTATCATCACGTGTAACTTTGTAGCAGCCAAATACTCTCAACGCGTGTTTCTAAATTGAACTATCGGTGTTGTGTGACGAGATGAAGGCTCCACTCGAATATCTTGCAGAGCAGTGCAAACCCCTTCATGTGAAAGAGTGGCCGATGGAAGCGCATACTGTAGAGCTACCTCTAAAATTACTCCAAGTCATCCCCGTTCCACAAAGCAGAGGACAACACTGCCGCATCTGTTCTGCATATGTCAGGAATATCGGTCGCACGACATTGAGATAGATATTTTCATTCCCAGTGCTGTAATTTAATCAAATTAAATGCAGAGCCAAATGTACTTTGTGGTTAGAACGTCTTGAAAGAGACTTACTTCACCATATGCATGCGGGCCTGCCGATCAATTATTCAACTTGTCATTTAATTCTATTCCTTTTGCCATCATTTAGCCACTACCAGAAGGCCACCTTGACCACCTCTCCTCAGAAGCATCACTCACTCATTTCAAGACAAGCTGACATGTGCAAGCATTGCAAACCCATTTCAGGCCAAGGTGACCCTAATGGCAAACATGCACTTCGCTGTGAGAGACACAGAATGTCAATGCAATGCACCACCTTTCCACCCAACCACCAACCCACACGGACATGCACACACGCACACATCTAGCCCTCTCTCTGCCTAGCACTTAATTCAAACGCATTTTGATTCGGGCTAAATGGATATTCCAGTCGAATCTATCTTCAGAACACCGGCGTAACATCCCAACCTTAATAAAGCTCAAATTGATCTATTTTGACAGAGCGACGGTTTGAAAACATAAAAGCTCAAGCTAGCAGATAATGGTAATGCAATATAACGCGGGAGATTGGCTAAAGCTTTATACGTATGCGTATCCCTTTGACTCAAGGTGACCTCTCGACAACAGACAGTGTTGGGCCCCATTAACTTGAGCGGGCAGCATTGCGTTGCGTGCATTGGCTGCCGGCACATCCCATTATTACGATCGTTTTGCTCTCAAACGGGCAGCAGATGGACAGGGAGGCTCTCGGGACTTCCTCTGTAACACTAAACTGAAGATTTTTTTTATTTCACCAGGTGAGGCCCACTGAGTTGCCGTAGCTCTTTCTCAGTAGCGACCTGGCCACAAGTGATAGCTCAACCAAGTTGCTTATTACGTGAAAATGTATAGCAGCCAAATTCTCCAAATGCATGTTTCTAAATGTGAAGGGAAAAACCGGAGGACCCAGAGAAAAATCCACGTGACCACGGGAAGAGAGACACGCAAACTGCAAATATACAGGCGTCAGAGGCCGGGATCGAGCCCACAAACTCCTGCATACCAGGCAAGGGAGTTAACATCTGGCCACCACAGCACCTTCACGCGGGAAGGAGGAGGCCAAGTCGGTAACGATGGCTGGGAGGGATTGCGGAGACGGAGCGTGGAGTGTGAGAGAGCGAATGAGAGGGAGTGTGAGAGAGTGATGTACAAGAGCAGGAGAAGCCAGGGACATGGGGGAGCGGAGCTGCAAAGCTGTAATGAGAGAGAGAGAGAGCTCAATGAGATAAAAAGAATGAGAAATGAGGAGGGTGGTGGCCCTTGTGAGTGTGTGAAGAATAAACAGCCGCAATAGGAGGGGGTGTTGCCGCTAAATCTGCCCCAATAAAAAGAGATAACGCTATTGTCAATGCATTATGGAAAACGTCCAATTTGTGAAATCCGTGCCATTATGGAGAAGCCAAAGTAGCATTTACCCCTTGGGATAATGACAAACAAGGTAGAATTAATTAAGTAATTTATTGGCTTTAAAGTAAAAAAAAATAGCTATTTATTTACCGCTTTCAGATCGCAAGTGCATCTCAGTCACCAATGGTGAGTAAATTCAGAGAGGAATGTTCAACCTTTTGTCCATGAATCAAGAAACACAGCAAAATAATCTGTGGTGGCAGCCGCTGCCCCACCTGAAACTCAACTCTCCGGCATCTCTGGGAGAAGTATGCAAATTGCAGGGTATGAGGGGGAAAGCCTCTGTTTCCTTTTACGCGATCACACATGACGCACAGTCAAAACTATCCAAGCAGAGCCCACAGCAGACAGGATAACCAAGGGTCCTAGAGAGTCATGGCAAGAGGCAGACACGGGGATACGGAGAGAGATTTGAACAGACAAAGGCGATGGTTCCACGAACGGGCGTCCAGACTGGTCGTGGCGAGTGCTTCTAGCGAGAACCTGTTAAGGCCGACTTGGCACAGGGGGTGGTGTGGTCGTCCTTTGTCTCCCCAGCGCTAATGTTTACGCACCGAAGCGAGTTTTCAAGGCGGAGTCGGCTTGGAAAGTCACAGAAACACGGGCACGAATCGAGACAACAAAGAGAAAACGCATCGAGAGAGATTAATTCAACGAACTTATAGAGACACAGACGAAGATGGACACTGAGATATTAAGGGACGGACAAATGAAGACTGACATTTCTCATATAGGAAGAGTGGCAGGCATAGAGACACAGACATGACGAGAGAGAGAGAGAGAGAGGGACAGACAGACAGATGAATATAGCAACGGGCGAAAATATATTTGGGAGAACCCGAAAGAAGTTGGAGATGCTAACAGCGCTTTCCCCAACCACCTGTGTAAGCAATACAGGGGGGTCTTTGTCTTTGTACTCAACGCGCACTGCTATATGTGAATATTTCCTGTGGACAACGTTTTCGCACTGGCCAAAGCCACAGTCCACATGGTGTCCACTCACACACTGCCACGTGTTCTTTCAATCTCAGACATCGTAATTTGGGGGATGATATTTATTTGGCTATAAGTAACAGTCAAAAGATTTGAAAGAAAGAGGAATTGCAAGTATGCAGCAAATCGCATCACGATTGGTGTCATTGCATAATGTTGTACATTTGTGGTTGTATGGCAATCAGATTTAGTTTTTCCGAATCCCCTCTGCGTGTATGCGAAACCAATGCAAAAATGTGTTGTATGTGTTGGTCCAGTTATTTATATGTGGAAGGCTATTTTACTGATGGATAACATGACATTTCTCCACCCCCATCAAATGGCATTTCCTAATCACAATTAAAATTGTAATTATGCAATATAAATGCTTAATTGCCAGCTATGAAATTGCATTAATGTATTACTGTCCATATAATCCTTCATTTGCATAATCATTTTATTAAATGCTACCATTTTTTATTAAGTCAGCCACAATTTTTGTCAAGATATTTTCACAGAGAGGCCAGAAATGCATTTGCATTGCAATTCAGTACAAAAAATTCAATCGAAACCATCGACAAAGGGGAGAAATCCAGCTCATAGGCAGGCTTTGTAAAAGGGCCCCTTTAATTTAGATTCAGCGTTTTAAATTTTCAATAAGGATTTAAAGAAAAGGCAGAATGATTTATTTTCCAAAGCCTGCATGTTACACTTTATATATATTTAAAAAAGGCAAAGTAGGAAGAGGAAGAAGAAACCCACAAAAATGTCACATCAAGCATCAGAGATAATGCAACTGGGAGCTGTCACATTTGAGGATCTTGGTCGGCATCAGACTTCAATTCTTCAGAGTGCCCTCCGGCTGTTGGGCTGATATTGAATGTTTCTCACGAGTGTGGATCGGCGAAACCGTTACAGGGCTCATTTCAAGCAGCCGAGGATCTGTGTCAGACAGCGCTTGGGCAAAGGATTCCACCATTTCTCGACCCAAAATTCAAGCGTGCTTCTCTCTAAAGCTGCGCGGCTCCTGTTGTACAAAAGATAATGGGATTACTCATGTCCTTGTCAAGTTTCCTGCAATTTGTTTAAAGTTAAAAACAAAAATCTACAATAACGCAGTAATTGCTTCTCTTGCTGCCAAAAATACACGACCTGATCGTTTTCACGACAGTATGTGTTTACATGACTTGCCAAACCATGTATTCACCGTGTGAATGGCGTCGTCATCATCATGATTACATCCCAAAACAACAAATGTCTCCCTGCAAAGCGGCAATACTTATCTCAAGTGGCCAACCTAAGCCAGAGATATACATTCAATATTCTTATGGTAGAGGACAGTCTGTCCATAGGACCATTACTGACAAATCGGTACATATTGTATTGACCCCATAATGTAAGTTGAATGGTCCCGTCACCCAGGAAATGAAACATGTAGATTAATTATCATGTACGGTATATATAAATAAAATAATGCTCACATATTACAATAGTAAACAATCCACTGCAGGATTAATGGGATTATTTAAGCTTCATCATGTAGGCATAATGGCCGACACAGGCTTGTGAAAGAGGTGGGCCCAGGACCGGTTCTGACGGCCACTCACCATTCATATTGGCCATGGCTGGGAATTGAACTCGGTTTACTAAGTTCATAGTGCAATAATAGACATCAATATTATTTAAAATTACATGCATTATAAAGCCAACATAATATTATTATTCACGTCAATGGAAACTATCTCATGGTTAAACATCCTCAAAGAAGGCGTATTATTATTGCTCTTCAAACTCAGCGAGAAAGAGACCTCAAAGCATAGCGATGACAATGTGAACGGTAAACAAAACCTCCACGTTTCTCCACACCCTATTCAGTGTACGTGTACTACGATTGCCGTGGCGCGATGCTGCTGCCAGGTTATAGCGGCCCTTGGCTCGGCAACTTCGATGAAAGAAGCCCTCAACTTCACACGGCTGTAAGCGCCTTCCCCAATTTCCGGATGTTGTAGAGAGGACGTAGGGGGTGGGGGTAGGGGGGGGCATGGGGTGGGGGGCTCTTGGCACCGGATGAAAGGTGCGCACTTTAGCGGCCAGACAAGGCACTGTCTGGGAACACGTGCTATATAGGAGCAGCCGGGATATAAAACATATATACACGTAATAAGAAAATACAGCTGCAGGTGACTCGCAAACAAGCTGAGAAAACATCGCGCCGTTCCTATCCCACGCAAGTGTTTACGTTACCTTTCGCTAAGACAGAGGAAACGGAGCGCGGCTGCTTCTTTTGCTCCTCGTGTTTGAATACCGCATAGGGATAGTTCAACCTAAGAGTGACATTTTATAGCAATTTCATTTTGGGGGTTGGGGGGGGGGGTAAAGGTGCAGCCCTGCAATTTGCTTGGTCACGCCACTGCTGGAGGAAGGCCTCCCACTACAGGGAGCTCTAGAGAGCACCTCCAGAGGGTGTTTTAGTCTCATTTTCCACGCTGTCTAGACGCCTTGGAAGAGGTGCGAGGACCCAAACTTTACCCTACCAGAAGCGACCAGCTGATCGACTAACCGTGGTGAACTACTGGGTGGACAGAGACAGGGGTGGTGTGGACTTTAAAACCACTTGCTCACAGTTTCAACTTCCACGCCGTGAGATTTAACCGGCGGTCTCTGCTCTGCAGATCCAGTGTGCGGACTGTTGCACACGATCATGTTTTGATAAAAAACATAATTGGACGCTACCCTTCCGCATATTGTTCAGTTTTATTAAATGGAAGTTGGCATGGCTTTTCCTCATAATGCATTCACAGCTTGCTCAAACGATGCAATTAATGAGAATCTTCTATGAATGTTGGCTTTGTCTTACAGGGCGTAGATTTTGCTGCGAGATTTTTTTTAATTATTAGCTGAAGGCGCACTGGCAGCAAATGAATGTTAGGGCCTAAGTTCTCTCCTCCAGGGAACCGTTGACCATGAGGTTGACATTAAGATCTAAACTGGTGAACGCAATGGAAGCAAATTGCATATTCAGAGAAGCAGGCAGCGCTGCAGCGGGATTAACATCCCAGCTTTGGACGACACACACGTTGATATAATGTTCCAGCATACCACCACCACCATCATGGGAATTGCAACGGGCAATAAATGTGGAAGCGACTCAATTCCCCAGCAAAGCAAACTCATAGGATACTCAAATAAATTTGGAAAACAAACACGTCCACCCAGTGTTAATGACCTGGAAAGTAATAAAAATTGGGAATCTTTAACAGGGTAATTAAGGACATATTAGAGAAAATAAAGACTGGCGGTTAATCTGCTTGCACATGTGATCATTCTGCAGTTAAGTGCTAACATATTTAATGTTGTAAATTTGAAGGTGACAAGATTTGAACACAATCCTAATGAGTTTTCCAGGTGGCTGGAGAGTGAAGTGGTTAGAGGATTCGACGCGGATCTCAGCAGCTAAATGGGGAAATGTAGTTGGCCTTTACCAAAGTTTGCCATATGCTGTGAAATTGATGTTCAATAATAATAATAATGACAATTATTTTCACTCGCGACGCACCGGGCAGTGATCGCTGACTCTCCGAGGGAGAGAACGAGTCGGGGGACACGAGGAAGCACAGACAAGTGGGAAGTAGGCAGCCGTTCGTCGGAGTCAGAATCACTATTAATGTTGAACTTCTTTCGCGCCGTACGTTAGCCAACCGTGCTAATCAAAGGTGCCAACCGTGCTCTTCATTTATCCACGCGGGAGGAAACTGGAGCGCCCGGAGAAAACCCACACTCACGAGGGGACAACACTGTCCCATACAGGTTGGACAGATGGATATGAGGCCACACATTCGCTGTCTGCCTTTTCCTGGCGAGTCAGGGTATGGCACCTCCTTTATGCCCACGGGAATGAGAGTTTCACGCGTTTGTGTGGTCCACCGAACCTTACCTCCAGTGCTGGATTAAAGGCGTGCATAGCCACCACCATCCAGCTAGAGACCCTGTGGTCTCACTGCCACGATTCGAGAGTTGGACAACGTTGCAGGCTGATAGCAACAACAATACCGTCATCGACAAAATCTCACATTTAAATGTTTGCATACATTTATGAAATAAACACGAAAGGCTCATTATGTAGTATAGGTGCCACGAGTCTCTCTTTCAAAACATATTCCTCAGTGAGATTTGGATCTGCTAAAAGTATTGTGGCAATCGATGCGATAACTCATTTTAAAGGTGCACTCGGTCAATCCGGTTGTGTTTCGAGAACTAAAACTCACGGAACAGGGAGAAACAAATAAAATAAGCCCCTCTAAGAGTCGCTACACACCATCCATCTTTAATGTCTTGTAAGTCTCCTGGCTGGCACTAATCCCACCTGTGTCACTGTCACTTCACCCGTCTGCCATGGCCATCACTCATCGCCTACGCAGTACTGCGTCAGTACCAGATGTTGCGCGATAGACGGAGAGATCAAGCTTAGCACGAGTCTGCTGCGTGAATGCGAACCCGTTGACGTGTACGTGTACAGCCCTTTGTCAATCCACTGCCGGTTGTGGGGTATGTATCACGTGGCCATGCTTCACCATGCTGGTAAGTGCGGGTTGGCGAAGGTGGGCAGAAGAAACAACGGAGCACAGAAGTGCACTTGAACAGTTGATGTTTCTGCAGTGCCCTCTGCTTCCCAACACGCAGCTCCGCAGCCGCCGATAAAAACCCGTTGGCATCGTGATCGCCCGGACATGCCTTCATGCAGGCCGTGTACCTGCTTAGCTCGCGAGATCGGGCACAGTTCCGGTGACTTGGTCACAGGCTGACCTGTCGGCACTGCGGCGCGGATGACCACAGGCTGGATTCTACTGCAATGCCGCTTACGATGCTCAATTTTCACGGCACCGCATGATGTCGGAGCATTCACGCGCGTCCAGTCAATTTCATTGCTCACCTTGCCAGCGCCCGGGTTGTCGCGGGCCTTCCCCGCGGCGCGCAGGAGGCAGGGCGGCACGGGGGGCGCCGCGGACCGCAGGGCCCACGCGAAGCTGCCCGGGCTCGGGGGAGGCTCCGCCGGGGCGTGAGAGGGGGCCGCGCGCTGCTTCCGTTTCATCATGCGGCCCGTCAAGCTCAGCTTCTGTGCCGCCCTGCAAGAGCGAGACGACGTGAGATGGCGACGGCAGCTGAAGGCGAGACCGAGAGGTGAACAGAGAGCGAGACGCACAGACACGGGGTGGGGAGGCAGAGAGAGGCAGAGATGGGGAGATGGATGGATGGAATTGGTTGGCAGAAAGAGAGCAAGTGGATGTACAGTCGCAGAGGACGAGACGAGTGGGTGAACATCGATACAGACAGAGAGACCGATGTGCACAATAAAAAAGAGAGAACCAGTGACACAATAATGAAAGACAAATAGAATGGCCGATTACAATTTATGGTGTCAAATTCATTACATTTTGTGCACCGACACAATTTGGAATGTAAACTTAATGACAGTCGATTTGATCTATTCTGCTTATTTTGTATGCTCATCTTGTCAGCCACCATCTCTTGTTTCATGAATTTACTTTACTTTTCGACATGCAATTAAAGAATGTTCAATAACTTTCCCAAGGTCTTGTTGAAAAATATAGAAGAATAAATGTGCAGCCCTGCAACTGCTTATAAATAACACTGCTGGTGGAAGGGCTTCCATTAGAAGGAGCTCTAGAGAGCTCCTATAGAGGGTCATTTGGCCTACTCTTTCACACTGTCCAGACATCCCACACTTTACCCCACCACACACAAGCTGTCAATCAACTTACTGTGGTTGTACCCATTGATATTACTGACAAATTTTCTATTGCACCATCTGAAAAAAGACTATAATTTGTTTAACTTAAATTATGCACACTGCTGAAATGAAACATTCAAACGCCACTTGTTTTTTCCACTCAATGATTTTTTTTTTACAATCACTTCTCAGGTGAATAAAGCAGAGACCTGCATCTGTGTGTATGTTGCACTTGTTTTGCATCTTACGTCGGCCAACCGTGCTGATCGGAGGTGATCTGCAACAAGGCATCTGTGCATTTTTGTTAGGGTCTGATCGACTTGTCACGGGGTCTCTGCAGTCCAAGATCCCGGTGATAAAAATAAAACATTTCCACCCCGTCGTTTTTTTAGCGTTGTGTTTTAGTGTTCCAATAAACTCGAAGACGATGCCCGTGAAGCCGGCACGCTTGGTAGCCACACAGCAAGGCAAATTATATTCAGTTTTACAGATTTGCTCTTGGTGTTGAGTAAACACTGCACGAAGCGGCATGAGATGCTTGTTCAGGGTGATGTGGATGAGGAGTAAACAGTGCAGAAGCGGTGGTGACGAGCTGTGTTTACCACCAATAAAAATTGTGACAATATCATCATCATCAACCATGCCCAATCCACTGCTGGATGAAGGCTTCCCCCATATAGCTGCCCACCACCACCCCTGGCAGCCCTGCGAGAGGCATTGGCCAGAGAGGTAACCCCCCCCCCCCAGGTGCATGGCCTTCTCTCTGGGCAATGTGTCCTGTGAAGCATGGCGGTTACCCAAAACGTCCCCTATTACAACACATTTTTCTCTTTAAATGCAACGGTGCACTATTGACGAACGTGTCGAGTTTTGTTGTCGTTGACGTAATTAAGACGGCAGCTTCATCTGCGCGGTTGAAACGTCGGCCACGTTATTCCCCTTCCTCAAGATGGACTGTTTGCCGAGGCCGAAAAGCTTGAGTGACCTCCAACAGCCCGCGACGGAACCATTCGCGAGAATCACAACCGAGACGCTGGCGAACACCTGGGACTCTCTCTCTCTCTCGAGTCTCTCTCGAGTCTCGACGCGACGTGGCGGGCACGTGCAGGAGGCCGAGTGCGACGAAACCCGCACGACAAAATGATGTTCACCCTGCATACCGAGTGCACGCGCGCGCAGTTCCATCGACCCAATAGCAAACAGCTGCCTCATTACAATTTTTTTAATAACGGATGTTAACCTTTTATAGATTTTCACTGTGGACTGGAAACTGCGCCTGAATCCCAACGTTGCGTCTGCTCTCGCGATTCTCCAACGCAGCACAACAATGGTGGCGTTTGAATTTTTAACCTTCGCAGGAAGAAAGAAAGAAACACAGAAGGCCATAAAACCGGAGAACCATTTTACCATCACTGAAATGAGGTTTGCTCCATAAAAGGCATTGCACAATACACAAACAGAACATGTTTGGAAGCTGTATTGAACAAATAAGTGAGCATAAGCATTCAAATTGTAAAAGCTTCAAGAAGCAGTTGTCCGTTGAGAGTTGTGCGGCAATTACCATCATTGAGGGGGCAGTCACTGAGAGAGATGATACAGATGGGTTCTCCAAAAGCCTTGCATTTTTCCAAACGGCCGCCCCTCAATTTAGAACGTCCAAAAAACAACAATTCGGTTTATTGAGAAGGTTCTGCACCAACTCCAGCTCTCCGGGAGCCTCACCGAACTATGTACAGATGACACACACGAGTCTTCTCTTCGTACCTACTGCCATGTCCAAGCGTTTGCCCAAGCCTATGGCGAACAACCTCATTGCAAGCGAAACTACTCATTCCAAGTGTCCTTGCGACTCATGAATAACTGTCAACAGCTGCCTTGCCCGCACGCCACGCACGCCACGCACGCGGCTTCCGCACACGCTGGGGAGACAAACGGGACAGGCCCAACGGTTGGCGAAACGATGGCGAGCTGACAATGGCACTCGGCCGCACGGGGTTAGGTCTCGCAAAAGGAAACACGGCTCGCCGTGCCTTTGTTGTCCAGACCTGTCGGGGGTGGGGGGGAGAGGGAGGGAGGGGAGCCCAGTTGGCTTGCCAAGATTGACACTCCTCCGTGCCTCTCGCCTACGAGGAGGTGCCGCTAAGTTAGGCGTCTGACTTGCGCAACGAAAACACGGGAGAGGAAAGGGGAGGGTGGTGTTATAAAAATGACCGGAGAAGCTTTAGGGGCCATCCATTGAGTAGGTACGCAAAAATGTGTCAAAAGTTGACCCCTGCCCCCCTCCCTGTACTGTTTACAGAGGCGTTCTTTAGAGCTCCGCGGAGTGAGCAAAGAAAATGTGCAGGGCTGCACCTTTAACTTTTTGCAACCATGAAAACAAATTTCTGCAGTTTAGTTTATTTAAGGAAGGCATAATTGTCTTATAATGGTTGCGGTCTTATTGATATTGTTAACACGCTACATGACTGTCAGATGTAATGGGAAGTCTCGCTCGGTTGATCGAAACAATTACCCAACTTTAAAACGAAGGAATAAACACGTTTTTATTTCAGAGAAAATCTGAGAAGACATCCCATTATTTTTAAACACTGCACGATTTTTTGGAAAATAATTTGAGATTTTACGGAATTTTTTTATCCCTAGAGTATTCGATGCCCAATTTAAAAAAAATCAATTTCACAAAGTTGCATTCGTTTCGAAACGTTTATAAATATTTGTTAAGGTGGTAACATTGCTTTATTTATGATATTTTAGGGAATTACGAAATTCCTGAATGCTTTGTAAGCATATTTGAGTACTGTATAAGTTAAGCCTCTTCTTACTTAAGTCCACTTAACTGCAAAATACACAAATTCCTTGTGAATTTGCTGGACTGACATGCACACAGCTTGCGCAACTCCAATCGCCCGTTTAAATCTCCGTATCTTACGCATGCGCGAAATCCGTGCATGGACCGCCAACAATATTTGTGTTTTTATACTGTCATCCCACTTAACCTCAAGCAGGCGGATTCCAAACTTCCAGGATGTTGCCGCACTCTTCAAAGGGAGCGACGTGGGGACGAGATGAATGACGGCCGTTACGTGCCCCATAACCGCCTAGAATACGGCGCTTCCTCGTGCCCTTCATTTCGTGCCCTGACGCACGCCTGTCGGCACACCTCGGTCCAAAAAACTCAGGGTCGTCGTCGTCATCACAACGCCACCGCAGTCGCCGCCGGGCATCCATCTCGCTCGACGCGCGTTTCGTCCGTCTTCTCTCAAGCGATGGTGCGCACGGCTCCACGCGATCAATCGCCTGAAGGATTGTGCCGGCAGCGAATGTACGGATGCTGGAGGCGCGCCGTGGAAGACGGATCTGGCTGTTTTTCCCTGCATGCCCGGCTGTGGCTCCTCGCAACTCTGAGCTCAAGACAGCGGCAGAGAATTTATTCATAATTTTTTTATATTGATAAAAAATTGTATTGTCATTCAAGAACCCAGAATGGAAAGTAGATTTCAAAAATAGAGGGCGGGGGGGGGGACGGCAGGATAACGTCTGGCAAACTCGGCGCAATACACAGCCTCAAAATGAGGGATCGGACGGTTTGGGTGGTGTCCGGGCTCGCTGCCCTACCTCGGTCGGGGTGCGACGACCGAGAGCGGTGTGGTTGAGGGGGAGGGGAAGAAGATTGAAGAACGGGCAAGCGGCGGTGATATTGTAAAAGTGTCTCGCTCTGTCACGGTCTGAATGACTGCGCGACATGCGTGCACCACTGCGGCAGCCAGCCTGCGCTGCAATCCTTTACAACGGAAAAACATTGCCGAGTCTCACTCTCAGGGTGCTCCTGCTTGTTCGTTGGCTTCGCACACTGCTCAAATGTGTCCGCAAGCGGGAAGACACCGGAGTACCTGGAGACAACCCATGTATACAAGAACGAGTCTCTCAAACTCCAAGCTAACGGGCCAAATCCGACTCGCCCTTCTCCACGGCCCTGCAAGTTGTTTTCCAACACAGGTTCTAACAACCCGCGGGTAATCCACCTACACTCAACCTACTTACGAGCTTGTCGTGCCCGTTATTTAACCAGGAGATGAAACAATCGCATTGAGAAACATAGCCTCTTTTGCAACGGTGAAACTAGTGAACCCTACTGCTGCGCAATGAACGAGTCGAATTGCATGTAAATGACTCGGTCTCATCACGGTGTTCCGACTGGCATCACATGCAGTGGGACTCGTCATTACACCCGCACATAACCCTGCTCGGGCCCCCAGCCAGAGTCAGACGTGAGTGCATCGTCGTTTTGGCATCTGAATCTGGTATTGTTCCGGCTTGGCAAGGCAACTTGAGGGTCCCGCACTGCATTGGCTCGGATGGTGCCACTGGGAAAGA